GGTCTGTGTGGGTCTGTGTGGGTCTGTGTGGGTCTGTGTGGGTCTGGGTGGGTCTGGGTGGGTCTGTGTGGGTCTGGGTGGGTCTGGGTGTGTGTCCTGTTGTAGACCAGCTTCCCATCCAGAGTGTATCCGGCCTTGTTCTTTGCCGAGATAGTTGGGCAAAGAACAACTCGTTCTTTGCCGAGAGTTGGGAGGAGGGGTTAGAAAGTGGATGGATGGAATGATTTAGTGGTTGCTAATAAAACCTTCATAACTGGGGCTGCCCAGGAGCAGAGTTCAAGATGTCTGCTGTGGAGAAGTAGTTCCCTGTAGAAGGAAAGTCTGAAGTGTGCCTTGTTCTATTCTGTGCGGCTCAGGAAACTGTACAAGCGCTATGCCTTCCTGCGCTGTGATGATGAGAAGGAACAATTCCTGTACCACCTACTGTCTTTCAACGCTGTGGACTACTTCTGTTTCACCAATGTCTTCACAACAGTCAGTAAGTACCCCACACAGCAACACCCGTGAATTAACGTTTGCATGTGTAGTAAACCTACATTGTGTACAAGACCAAAGCTCACAACAGAAAAGCCATTTAAAAATTCTGTGAGACCACATCAAATTTAGCATGCTCACTGCTGTATCAGATTTAATTTGCTCTTAATATTGTGCTGAGCTGAACCATTTTGGCTGAAGTATAATAGCCCTGATAAGTCTTAGCTTTGACAGCTGCATTACAATCACACTCGTTATAAAAACAGATCGTAAATCTTTTTTTTTTTATGCACTCTTGGTTAGATTAGCCTGGGTTGTGGCGACCACTAAAGTGAACATTTGTTCAGAAGACCAGACATAATGATAAAGTATCATTTTATTGAGAGGATTAGTTTCCCTTGTAATAAATTTGTTTTGCATGTTAAGGCACTGTAATCTTTCATGTGATGAACAGCTTTTAACTGAATTTCTTGTGGTTTTTAAATGTCATTTGTTGTAGACCTAAAGATTATTTTGTGTGTGGCTCTCACCCGTGTCTTTTTTGTTTACCCCGCACAGTGATTCCGTATCATGTATTAGTCATTCCAAGCAAGAAGCTGGGGGGCTCTATGTTCACAGCCAACCCGTGGATCTGTATCTCAGGGGAGCTGTCTGAGACGGGGGTGTTACAGGTCCCCAAAAATACCCTGGAAATCACCTTTGAGGTGGGTCTGAGATTTGGGAATTCAGAGAAAAGGAGGGCTAGAAATGTCTCATGTCTTTTAAAGTCTTGTATATCTTCTGTTTGTTTTCCTTCTAGTGCCAAAATCTTGGAAAACTGACCACAGTGCAGATTGGACATGATAACTCAGGACTTTACGCTAAGTGGCTGGTGGAGTGTGTCATGGTCAGAAATGAAATTACTGGCCATGCTTACAAGTGAGTACCACAGTAAAAAATAATATCAGAAGAATGTATTGCTATATATTAGTAGCAAAAGTATTAATTAGGAATTTATGGATTTGGTTTTTGCTAGTGGACACTTTGACAGCAGAACAATACAATGTCAAAAAAGGCTGAGAACTGGTACTGTTAGCCTAAATTCCAGGCAATTGCGACAGTATAGTGAGAACAGATGCAGCCCTTCAGATGAGATGTGTTTCTTGCGAAATTGTAGTTATTAAAGATCCTTTGGCACTCTTTGGATGAATAGGGGTGCTCATTCCAGAGTCCTGGGTAAATAGGACTTTAGGCTGTGAAAATATACTCCTTCTTCAAGTCCAGGAACTTCAAGGGAAGACCACATTGCTGGTACAGGTGACACTGGTCCAGAGTTTCCTGTCTAATGTACCAGTACTTTGACTGCCTGAGGAGTTGCTGTCCCTCGGATGAAATGTTAAAGCGATGTCCTGACTACTTTGTTAATAGAAGTCCCAGGGCACTGTTCAGGAGAGTAAGGCTGTTGCCCTGGCTATATTCCCCTCTGGGCTTTCCAGAACAGGGCGTTTCTGTGGTGGAGGAACATGCACCCCTGCCCCATGTACAGCACCTCCTTGAGATGCAAGAAAGTTTTTATTATAAGGCACAGATCACGGAGATATGAAAAATATCAAACCCAAGGTCTCCTGTGCGGACGTTCGTCTGGGAAGGGTTTTAAGAAACAGGTCTCCTTCAGGGACATGCGAAGGGGAGGGTTTTACCTGGGGACAGTGCCGGTGAACAGGGGCTCCTTTAACGCTCTCCGGCGCGGCGCAGGTTCCCCTGCGGGAGGTGGCTGGGCAAGGGCGTGGACGATGGCAGTCTGGAGCGGATCCTGGTGGGCGAGCTGGTGACCCCCAGCACGGAGAGCGAGGAGCGCTTCTGCAGGACCCCGCCCATGCAGCAGTCCCCCAGCATGATCCGGAGGTTCGTCACCATCTCGCCAAACAGCAAACCAAGTGAGTGCCGCCCGGTCAGGAGCACCAGCTCTGAGGGACAAGAGCGCACAGCGGTGAGGGGGGGTCATAGTCATTCAAAGTGTTATTAGGAAGAGGAACAGCGGAGTCAACAGCTTTATACATCTATCTCTTCAGGCTGGATTACAGCGGAAGAAATTGGAACAGTTTATTAAAGAGAAAGGTTTCTTTTTATTTTTTTATTTTCCTTACAAACTGTGTGCTATCATTTCTACCAACAGTGCTCTGGTTTAAATACATTTCTCCTTTCTATATGGGCTGCATAACGTTTCTGCTGGTGAGATGTCATTTGCCGTTCGACCTACATAGGGACCTTGTCACACTGGAGTTAGTCTGTCTCCTGTTATAAATTGACATTTTTTTGTTATCTGACTTAAGTAAACCTAATTTCAGCTGTTCTGTAAAGATCACCAAGCTTATTGGTCTGGGAGTTTTTCCTTAAGCCATAAAAATTCAAGGTCTTCCATTGGAGTCTTTTTGCTGTGTTTTGGAGTGAATGGTTAATTCGGAGGCCTGCTGATTAGGCTAAATGGCTCTTTTGGGTTGTAAATTGAACTGGATGACAACAAAGGCCTGAAAGCATTTGTCCTGCTCTCTTCCAGAGTTAAACACAGGCCAGATACAGGAGGGTGTTGGCGAGGCCATCAATGGGATTGTAAAGCATTTCCACAAACCAGAGAAAGAGGTGAGTCCTCTGCCTGTGTTCTGTAACCAGTCTTGAGCAGTCTTGCCTTATCTTTTCAAGCTCAGCAGTGGAGTGCACCGCAGGCACTGTCCAGTGTGACTTTCTGCTTACGAATGTTTTCTAAACATGGTGACGGCATGTGTGCTTGAACCGTTTAACAGAAGTATGTATGCTTATATTCCACTGTATTTTTATTTTTTAAAAACATTTTCATGTACACTTGTTTCTGTGTGCCTTAGTATTTTTAAGAAGCACATTATGTTTGAGGGGTTTCAGCCTGTTCCCCAATTCATTGTTTGTCCTATAGAAATAGAGAGGATTTAACAAATGGTGTTGTGTTTTACTGGGTGTATGAAAACAGGAGCCTGCATTGGGAGTTTGAGCATGTCTTATTTACCCTTTATTGACATTACTTAATAGTAAACATTGAGCCAGACATGAATTAATAAGACATGGTGCAGTGGTGCATTAGCACTGCTGTTCAATTCCAAACCTGGGCTGCTGTCTGCATGGAGTTTGTCTGTTCGTGTGGGTTTCCTCTGGGTGCTCCGGTTTCTCCCACTGTCTGTTGACATGCGTCTTGGTAGACGGGCCCTGGGGTGAGTGTGTGTGTGTGTGTGCCTGCCAGGATAGGGTCTGGCTGCCCCACAGCCCTGAACTGGGTGAAGCTGCTAGAAAATGGATGGATGAATTTATACGTTTTACTGTCCACTGAGGGACAAGTTTGATGCCTTTGCTTCTTTTTACAGAGGGGCAGCCTGACGCTCTTGTTATGTGGGGAGTATGGTCTGGTCTCCGCCTTGGAACAGGTGTTCCTGCATGGCTTCAAGTCTCCCCGGCTCTTTAAAAACGTCTTCATCTGGGATTTCCTAGGTAAGTGTTTTGCCTGATTCCTGCCTTCAGGCTGAACAAAAGCTCAGTTTAGGCTTTTTCCCTCAGAATTGCCAGTTATTTAATAGTACCTCAGCACCTGGGCAGGGAGTCAGTGCCAGTTAGAGAAGTGGAACATCTTTCCCTGCCATCACCGCAGCTGATGAAAGTTTGACTTGAGGCAGAACCGTCTCGCCTGGCTTCTCATTTGCAGTTTGTTTGCATGTAGTCAAAGAAAACTTTCTACAACGCTTGAGGAGTTTATATGGTTCTTCCTCCAAGCTTTGAGAAATGGAGAGAGCTCATTAACATTCATTAATAAACACACACCATAACCCCGAAAGGTGACTTGATACAATATATTTTATAACTTGCTATAGAGGTGTGAAGACAAGCTGTGTAAGACGCCTGTGCCATATCTGCTGTGTGTTTTGCCTCTTATTATTTGCTTCAGCATTTCAGCAATGGCTAGGAGCTGCTGTGTTGCCCTGTGGGTGAAATGTGATTTTTCCTTGCTCCAGAAAAGGCGCAGATGTATTTCGAAAGCCCCGAGCAAAGGGAGATGGTGCAGGATGAGAACTGGCAGACGAGAGTGAGGAACTTCTGTCGCTTCATGAACGCGATCAACAGCACCCCGCGGAGTATCGGCAAGGATGGCAAGTTCCAGCTGCTGGTGTGCCTGGGGGCCAGGTCAGTCCGACTCCAGGGACCCCCGACTTTCTTGAGGGACACTGACACCCACAGGCAGTAGTGCAGCGCAGCACGTAGTTGTGCTGGTGGGAGTCTCTCAGCGCTACGCTGGAACACCAGGAAGTTGCAAAATGGTTTCCATTTGTGCTGTCCAGAAACCTATGTTTCAGAACCCCAGAAATGACATGTCATTATTTTGTATTATTCGTACACAGCTTAATTGTTTTAGTTGTAGAATTAAAAAAATATATTTCTTGCACGTTTCCTGTGGTGGTACATGTTAAATAACACAATCTCCTATAATTTAAATTATTTTGGAATTTCCTGGTATGGTTACTATTTTTACTGTGCCAGAATTAGCAGGGAGAGCTGCTCTTGTGAAGACTCTGCCTGGCTGCTTTTGAGGAATTGCAAACCATATGTACTTAATAGAATCTGTATCCCCCCCCCCAACAGTGAATGGTAACCTGCTATAGTTCTTTCCCTTTAAAGTTTGGACTATCAATGTAGGCAGATCACTTATCACCAGGGGCTGCCTTCCGCTTGTTCAAGGATATTAAAATAATGTGACTTCCTGTTATTCCATCCAGCTGTTGTTTTCAAACAGAGGATTCTTGGGAAAACAAACAAATATGTTTCATTACCTGCCTATCAGAGCTTGCCAGTCAATGGACAGTCATTTCCTGTGTTGTCTTTATTACGAGCCGGTCTGTGTCGGACTTGCATGCTGTATCCTCCATTTTGTTGTGGCAGTTCTGCTGCGGTGACAATTTTCACCTGTGAAATACACCTCCATCACAGCACTTTTTTTCCCAGTGTTAACACTGTGAGTCCTCTTTGTGAACAAGAACAACAAACAACCCCCTTTCACGTTGCTCATTGGAGGACATGTGGTCTTCTCATTGTTGAATATATGTACATGTATGCATACAGGACACCTGCAGAAGTAGCTGGCATGTTCAGACAAATGTTCACCAGACTTCAGCGCTCAGTTTTTCACACATGGATCATGGGGAACGCATTGTCTTGCTCAAAGACAGCTGGCAGCGCTGTCTGAATGCTGGCAGCTGTGCTTGCAGTGGTATTCCCCAGTAAGGCCCTGTTTGTGTTCCCTGGTGTGCAGTGCCGTTGTCCCGAACATCTTGCCCTGGGTCCTGTGTGCATGTGCTCAGGATGTCATTGGCCCGCTGTGCGCAGGGTTCACCACACTGGTGTCTGCATTCAAAACTACGATATACGTACACAAATCTCTAAACCTAACCTAAAGCTTAGGATTTTTTTCCCCTCAGAAAAGCCTTTGTTCATCCTTGAAAGCATGCCTTAATAAAGCAGACTCTGGGCACTGTAATGCATACAAGTAATCCATTGCATAATATCATTTTATTATCAATATCAATATTATCATTTCCTGGTTGGACCACTCTGGTGTCGTTTTAATCTTCCCGTAGTGGGCTACATTTCCTGTGAAGGGGTGTCTGGGCACAGCCTGGTATAGGCAGCTCACTCTCAGGGCAGCCAGGGCTCTGTGAGCCACATACATGACCAGATTCAGCCTGGGTCATGTCACCCAGGTGGTTGGCACCACGTCACCCACAGCAGGAGTGGCATCGCCGCTGCTAGCCAACACGTAAAGACACAGTTGAATATTCCGTCTTGGGGGGGTACCTCACAAAAGAATTGGCAATTCTAAAATAATTGAAAATAATATGTATACTGCTGATACATATTTGTACACTTTCAATCAAGGTCAGCTTAATTTAACTATGCCTCAGGCTTAACATTTAGCATCTGTGAAGTCTGTTCTTCCTCAGATCAAACTGTCACAAAAGCAGTTACATAGAATATCTCTGGCCTGCTGTATGGTATCAGTTATGCCTTTGGAAGTTCTAGTGAATTTTGACTGCGCTAGGCAGCACAAGATTGTGCAGCATTGTTAATTGATTCAGCTTCATCCTATTGAATTGTACTGCTGGATAATTAGCTGGGAGCAGCTGTTGTGTAAACACATTAAAGAAACAAAATGCCCTCGCTGTACCAGCCCTGCCTGTGCTAGGGCCTTATTAACCACTGCTGACTGTGTGCCATGTCTCCTCCCCAGGGATCATCTGTTGCACCACTGGATAGCTCTCCTCGCGGACTGCCCAATCACTGTGCAGATGTATGAGGACATGGCGCTGATAAAGGACCACACGCTCGTGAACTCTCTGATCAGAGTGCTGCAGACGCTGCAGGAGTTCAACATTACACTGGAGACCTCTCTAGTCAAAGGAATAGGTATTTAGGCACACAAGGACACAAGCAGCACCCGATACTGCAAGCGCAAGGCGGAGCTTCGAAGGACTATTCTAACACATTTTTTTACTTGGAAAAGAGAATTGAGGAAAGGACATTTTTGGCTTATTTTAAAGCTGCAGTTATTTTGCCATATATTAAGTGCAATGAGCCTTTTACAGTGTGTCATTATGTTTGTTCTCAAAATGTGCTGTTGACCCATTTTTACTCTCTGTTGTTTTTTATTTTAGTAACAGAAACAACCTGTGCTATACTGTATTCAAGAATTTAGATCTTTTGTTGTTGTTGTGTACTGCTGATAATAGCTATATTTAAAAGGAAGCAAACAAAAATAACTTAATATATTTTCAAAAAGGAACAGTATTATTTTGATATGTCTGTTGAGTTGCTTGCTCTGTTATTGAAATTTAGGTTTCACAGAGGCCAAACTTGAGCTCAAAACAAATGTTGTAGAAGTATACTTTATAAGTACTAACCCTTACAACAATGACATGTAAATGACCGAAAGGTTTCTATAGAAAGTTGTTCTCTGCAGAAATGTACTGCTACGTGTCTATAGAAAACTTTGGGTTATTTTTGTAAGGGAACGATGGGAGAGAATACGATTTTTAATATGAAATATGAAAAATGAACTGAAATTAGTTTTTATATCTTCTATAATAGATGTACACATTTAATTTTTTTCCCCAAAATGTAGTGTCAGCGTTCATTATATACTGCTTCTGCACGTTTTGATTTCTCAGATCATACATTCAGTTGTGCTGGAGAAGAGTTCACCCTGTCTATTTTTCTAAATTATAAATCAGGCTTTGGAGCTTCTGTCTAGTGCATGTTGTCCTTTTTGTATAAGCGACCGTCGAGTATAATTTCGGCAATAATCGGCAAGTTTGAAAAACCATTAACCTCCATTCTACTTTAAAAGTTGACTTGTTTTTCTGTCTGTGCTTTTACTTGTTCATGCTTTCACATTTATTATTATTATTTTTTAACCTGTTCAGACTTCACTGAGACTGAGTATAAGTAACATTCCTTCTAAGCTCTTTCTCTGAATCTCCTTGTCATTCCAAGAACAGGATTGTGGGAATCATTCTGTTTTCATGGAGGTTTGTGCTGAGCCAGACATCCTCTCCGTTACTGACAGGACACTTTCTCCATCTGCCCACCACCTGGCATGTGAATTACTGAATTGTCCGCAAAAAAATATCCTCTTGCACTTCTCGAGATATATACAGTGTATGTTTTTAGTTACCCATCCGCTGAAAAACAGGCATTATCAAATAAGCCAGTGACCAGGTTTGGGAGTTTCACATTTGGATGTAGGTCGCAGTGGAGGATGTAGGATCTAGGTTTGATTGTGTTTAGTTTGCTGCCATTTTTAACAAGCGTGTGTGGATTTGGAGTAGACTTCAGTACATCCTCCTGTGGCACTTACAAGTTCATAGGTTGTAATCTGATAGGATCTGAAGGTCCACTTCAAGGCTTTCTTCCTGGGTTTAGAACGTGGCGGATGATAGTACAATTTCCAGTTAGCTTTGCTGCCTCACACCTCCAGGGTCTTGGACTGATTCCTGGTTCGAAACAGTCCTCTGTTTTGGGGGTATTTCATTTTTGCCCCCCCCCCGTTCTTGTGGATTTTCGTGGGCTGCTGTGGTTTCCCCCCTCTTCCCAAAGACACGTAGGTTTAAGTTCTGAATTGCCCCCTTTTTGGGAGTTTGTTCTCAGCAGGGCCAGTGGTTAATATTTGTTCCCAGTGCGGCCAGTGCTGATAATGTGATTGAAACAGAACAAAATCAGCTTGACGAGATTAATGGGATGGGGTTGCGTTTTCATTCTGGTGGTTCGGACCCTCAACTCGCAACGTTTTTCCAACTACGTCCGAGAATGAAGCTACTTCTCACCTCTGGTACCGGATCCTCTTTGATTAACAAACTGTGACGAGGGTCTTTCTGAGGAAGTATTTTCCCAGCTCAGTAAATTTGGAGGGCATCTGCTTGGCACTTTGGGCTAGAGGATTTTTTTCTTGTATATTATTCTCCCAAATGAAAACATTGACAATTTTTAACGTCATCAAATTCATTGACACTTTCACTTTTTAGTCCACATTCCTGTAGAGTAATCTCAGTTTTTGACATGATCTGGGGTGTTCTGCAATTTGCTTGTTTCGCAAGACACTACAAGGACACGGTGAATCTTTTAACACTGGGGAAAAATAAGAAATTGTATTTGTGAATACAGTTCTATCCAAGTATACAGACATGCATTTGTATTCCTGAGCCATGTGAATCCATGGAGAATAGTGGAAGTTTACAGTGTTATATTTCACTTAAAGACAGTGGCTGTATTTCTCAGCTCCAGTAGCCATCTCCCATAGAGTTAAGATTGCTGCTGTTAATATGCTATGCAATATTCACTACACAGAGCAAAAGTAAAAAACAAGAAAAATTAAGGGTTATATGGTTCAGACTTTTGTCCCATTGTACTTGGCAGCAGAGTTTGAAGGCATAATAGCTTCATGGAAACATTAAATTTGACCATTTCATCCCCCAAATGCTTGGCTAGTGCTGATATTTCATCCGCCTTCAGTCTGAAACCATATACAGGCTGAGCTTCTTGGGACAGATACTACTTTTTTAAAAAAGGTTAATAAAGCAGTGTTGTGTAGTGTAAAATAAGAAGTGGTTAACTGTACAGTGTATAAAATGTAATAAAACAAAAGGATAATGTCTCCATGTAAAAGTGTATTGTATATTTTTACATAAACCATGAACTTGCTCTGTAGTATGTAGATTGCAATTAATAATGTATCTGGGAAGTGGTTTTATAGAAGGCATCCTTTTTATCTTTGTAACTGCTCTGGTTGTATCTATTCTGTATAGGAAATGTAGCTCTGAACTAGAGAAATGGCCCTGAGTAGTTACACTTGTATTTTACACATGTCCTGATGAATAAATGGTAAACATTTCCTAACAGTAAGGCTTCTTATTTATTTCCACTTGGTGTTGACCTTTTAAGAGTAGAGCAGTTTCATTAAAACACTTCATTTGGTTCATAAGAACGATATTTGCCACAGAAATTGGCTGTATTTCCAGATATTCTTTCGACACTTAAAGCAATTTTGAAATTATTAAACAAATTAAATGTGTGTTGTCTAAATACTAAATAAAGTAATAGGGTGCATTAACACGTTATGCCTGTTTCAAGGTACAATTGCAATTTAAAACACCTTGAAAACCTTGAATTTACAGAACGCTGTAAATGTTAAAAGACCAGTCCTTCAAATAACAACCGAAACGGTTACTATTACACTGACTTTCTAGGTCCTTTTAAAGGATTTAAGATCTCTAATAACATACAAAATTGTGAATTCTCACAATTAATGCATTGATCTGCGTTTCCGTTTTTGTGATTTTCTACAGCTCGCTCTGTATTTTATATTTCATAAAGACCTGCATGGTCTGTCTAGTTTTGCAGCAATCTGCAAACTAATATGCAGTATAGACCGTATACACAGCAAATTTGATTAGACAATAGCAGGTACAGTTCCACTGAAAATACGGTATTTCTATCACTGCTCAGTGACCCAGTTAATCGAACAAGGGCTTGCTATTTTCATCGAGGGCTCCAAAATAAACGCGACTGCGTAGGTAACGCTAAAAATAAGATTTACAGTACTAAGCCCAGGTGCGTTTTATGCAAGGACTCGGGGTGCTTGGTCGCATTATATGAAGCGCATGTAGCGAGCGGGACCTCGCAGGCGAAACAAAACTCCTGCGAGCCCGCGAACGACAGCAAAAAAAAAAAACAAAACAAAACGGGAAAACAGGGTTTGCTGTTAACCGCCCTCGATGGGACTTTGCGGGTGTGTGTGTGTTTTTTTTAAGTGCGTGACACGTGGGAACGAGGTGAACGGGGCTCCTCGCGCGCAGCAGGAGCTCGCGGGGCGCCGCCGCTTTTGTCCGCCCCGCGCGCGCAGCCCAAGTTGTGAATGAAACTGCCCGGGACGCACGTACACCGCCCGGGCTCGCGCCGGGGTGGGAGGAGCCCCCGCGTGAACAATGTCAACACTGCGGGGCGGCCGAGCGGCGCGAACCGGCACGGCAGCGCAGGGGCAGCATCGGGATCGCAGCCCCGCAGCTGAACCGCGCTGTAGGAGCTGCGCCCGACCCCGGGCGGCTGTCGTGCTACCGAAAACGCATTCGCGCCATTTCAGTGCCCCCAGCCTAACAATAGTTTTTTTGTTTCATTCCTTCAGTCCCCTGCGGCTTGTGGGAAGTGCAGTCTTTTTAGCCAGCCCGAGCCGTAGGAGTGGCTGGAGGGGGGCGTGTAAGCGAACTACATTTCCCAGGATGCAACATGCTTAAATGCCTGTCCGGGGCTCCTGCGATTGGTTACATTTGTGTTCAAACGAGTACGTTGGACTCCTTATATGGTGTTTCTGTGATGCTACGTTTGGGGCCAATGTTTTCATGCTAATGATATTCTAATATCCAGCTGTATGCAGGAGTAGCGTAGTAAGGCATGCGCAGTCGTCCCCCTCAGAAAACAGCGAGGTTTCAAAGTTTTTGTTGGTAAGTCCTGTTCTTTTTGCAATTTCGCGGGCGGTTTTGCTACAGATTTTAAGAAAACGCACACGAAGCATGGCGGCCGGGATTCCCGAGACTCGGAGGTGTCTGTCGGTGACGAAAAGCAGATAGATGCTTGTCTGCAAGGTGGTCATTAGCGCACAACAATGGGAGAACGTGGACGGGGAGCGTGGCGTGGTAGTATCAAAAACTAAAATCAAGGACATCAAACTGTTTCGCGCTTTCCTCCCCCCCCACCTCCTCTCTCTTTAAAATAAAAAGAGCAGACGCCGTGAAAGTTACACATTTGCGACCGCTGGCGTGCAGACGACGGGGGAGTGGAGGGGACTTGTTGTTGTGAAAATGAGGATTTGTCTTTTAAGTGTTGCATGGTTCAGTGTTGGTAACGTTCCTTTTAAAATAAAGCGCCTCCCCACTATCTGTGAGAGGGATCCAAGCTCGACTCTGCCGAGCTGGATGCCTGGCATCGCAGTGGAAATCGCAATATTGTTACGGGAAAGTACGCTGGCATTTCGGGGGACTTTTTTTTTTTACCAAAGTGTTTTAAACAGACGAGGATCTTTGATTCTCGCGTGGTGACGTCAGGGCGAGAGGTTTGATGGATACAGTTACCCTGAACCGTCTCGGCTATCGATGGTAGCGTGCGCGACACCTTTGAGGCTGAAACGTGTAGGTTTTGCCGTTTGTGCATTCATCCATTGAGCTCCGGGGAGATGAAAGAATATGCCAGCCGAACGCCGCGACGCATTGTCTTTGTTTTCTAAAGTAAGTTTCGGTTTCGACGCAATTTAAAAACGTGCCGTTTGGAAAGCACGATGCGACGAGAAGGAATTGGGGAGGCAAAAAAAACAATTCCTCGCCTTCCCAGGTGAAGGGATTGTTGGATTTTTTTAAAAAAAAGTTTTGTTTTTGTTCCACGAATGTTGTTTTTGCACGCAGTATGATCGAATCGCGTTGCTTGCTTGCGAGAGAAAATGGGTTATGTTGTGTCTGGCGCTACAGCTCAGTAGTACCAACGTAGCACGGCATTTAGGTCAAATAAGTGGCTAGTTACGGTTAAATATGCACTCTTAAAAGACCGCGATGGTACATCGTGGTCTTTCAAAGTTTGTCTTCGCGTATTTTGCTGTCTACTCAGAATTTAACATTAAAAAGAAAACATTTCTTTGCCCGCAATGCACGTTGCGGTGTCCGCCCCCTTTATAGTAATAACCGCGGAAACAAACATGGAGCAGGGGCATGTCTGAGGCACTACCATATTCACGTGTGTTGTGTCGATCCGTTTTATTCTTCTGCTATCAAAAGGTCAAATTGATTTCGCTTGTGTTTGACACCCATGATTTCGCCTTCTCAGTGTTGCACGAACCTTTGGAGATGTTTGGTTTTCATAAATCGAAGATCTATCGCAGCCACGAAGGCTGTTGCATTTGTAAGACGAAGTCGTCCAGCTCTCGCTTCACAGACAGCGGTCGGTACGAAGAAAACTTCAGACTCTGCTTTGGGTAAGTTTTATTTGTATTCTGCGTTAAAATGCGCTTGATCGCAGCTGCATGTTTCAGCCACAAAATAAGAGCTAGACACTCCTATGTCGTTTTCATTTATTGTTACCACTCGTTTATCTTTCAAACAAGAAGAGCGACTTAGTAGCTGTTCCGCTGACCTTACTGAGAAGTTCCCAGTCTCCAGCCGCTCTTTGGTTAGCTGGGGGAAGAGCTGGTAACCAGTTTTGGCGACATGTCCCCTCTGCGTGACACTACCGCACCACGAATCACATCTCTAATTAATCTGCCTCTCACGTCAGTGAGCACGATTTTAAACGTGTAGAAATACGGGACTCCGGGGAGGAAATAAAACAATCTGGACCACAAAGGTGATTTATCACATCATTCAAGATCCCTAAACGTAGTTTTGCCGTTCATCAGCGGTCTCCGATTAAATAACCGGTACCAGTACCACTTGGTACTCTTTGCTTGGCAGCGCAGTTAAGAGTGCAGTGTGGTATTCAGCAAAGCAATTAGATTTGATAGAAGATTCATCAAATGTTTCGGAAGTCTTTCCAGATCTCCACCACTTTTCTAAACGTATCGCTAGCAAACGGGGCGGAAACATTTTTTGTTGTTCTAGGCTGATGGAAGATCGGACGGGAGATATATGTAATGCTTGCGTCCTGTTAGTGAAGCGCTGGAAGAAACTTCCCCTGGGCTCCAAAAAGAACTGGAATCACGTAAGTATCCACTGTGCAGAAAACACTTCTTTTTTTTTTTGCAAGGTCGTGGTGAAAAGTTTTGGGCTGATTTTTTTTTACTTATAAAGAAGTGAAGCTTCCTTGTATTTCTAGTACATGCCGGCAAAAAAAAATAAAAATAATCGGGGGTGGCTTTGAGTTTTCCTGTGCCTGTCTGGCACTGATTTGTGAAGCGTCTCTCCTCAGGTGGTCGATGCGAGAGCAGGGCCTGGCTTCAAGATGACCAAACCCAAGAAGATGAAAAGCGGCGACGGCAGCAAAAAGAAACTCAAGAAGCTTCACAAGTTCAAGAGGCAAAGTGAGTAGCAGGCTGGATGTTGGATCTGTTTGTGTCTGTGTTTGTAGTGGCCTGGATGGGCCGTGCGTGCCCTACAGGCTGCTGCTGCTGCGGCCCAGCTGCAGAAGATGACAAGGCAGGTGTGTTTGTAGTGTTAAATCGCCTTAAGTCCCAGCAGGTGAGGCTACGGTTTCAAGAAGGTGTCTCGCAAAGAGACCTGATCCGTGGAGTTCCCACTTCCCCCTGCATGCCTCACCTGCCTGGATCTCGGCATCGCCCTCCACCCGCGCGGGAGCCAGACTCCTGCCGCCGCTGGGAGTTCCCGGGAAGTTTTTCTACCAAGCCTTGTCCTTCCTTTCCAGATTCGGATGCTCACAGCACCACGTCCAGTGCCTCGCCCTCCCAGTCGCCCAGTTACAGCAACCAGTCCGACGAGGGCTCCGACATCGAGTCCAAACAGAGGCACTCCTCCCCATCCGTGTTCTCGTTCATCGACCTCTCTTACTGGAAAAGGTGCGATCCAGTTTTTTTTTTTAGCCCGCTTTCCTCATGATTCAGGCTCTTTTTAAGTATCCGTGGCCCAGATCGTTTACTCGCTAGGGGGCGCTGCTTCAAGTGGCAGGGCACTGTGCTCTCGGGGGAGTATGGTTTTTTAGTATCGTTGGTGAAGACGATCACTGATTAGCAGATGGCTGGTCAGAAGAAGTCATGGGCACACGATCTGATCCAGGGCCCTTCGGCTGTCAAGACCTTGCGAGTTCCTGGTCTCCTCTGAGCTAGTTGGGTTGATGTTCTTCAGGAGTGGGGCTGCTGAGCCCTGCGGTACTGTCAGGAAAGTGGGATGGGTAGTAAGACCTGCGCGGACTGATCCGTGTGGAAGCACGTTTTGCCAGTGAAAACGTTTAACCTTTAAAGGGCTGTTTTTCTGCTGCTGCTGCTTCTAGGCAAAAGGTGTGCTGTGGCATCATTTACAAGGGGCGCTTCGGCGAAGTCATGATCGACCCCCGCCTCTTCAAGCCCTGCTGCAGCTCCAAGAAGCCGGAGCCGCCGGCGGCGCCGGAGGAGACCGGGCCGGGCCTGAAAGAGGAAGACGAGGAAAGGTGGTGATGAGGGCCCGGTGTGGCTCGGCCCAGCTGTCCGGTCCTGACCTCAGTTCTCGTCTCCGGTGACCCCTTTCCTCTCCCCGCCCCCCCGTCCCCATTATTTAGTTAAGTGTATATCAGTTACCCAGGTAAATTGTTTCTTTATTGTCTTTTGTACATTAGTTTTCTGATGTATCTTTTTTTAAAAAAAGAAAAAAAAAGCCAAAAAAAGGCCGTTTTTTAAACTATGGGCATTAGTAAAATATTTATAGGATCAGGAGGCGTGATTATATAAGGCCTTAACAGCCAGATTATTCGGTTTTTCTTTTTTATGTATTTCATTCAAAGACTGTAAAAAATCATTTTTTTATTGCTAGTATCTGCATATGTAAATAGTGTTCAGATTTTATACTGGCATCTTGACTGCCCTTTTCTAGTCTTGTTTGGTTTCTTAAGTGCAGTCTGGATTAAAAAAAAAAAACAAACATTTACTTTATATTTTGATATGCAAAATAAAACACAAGGTCTTTCGAACCAGTGCAGTAAAGTGGTGGAATACGTCTGCGTTCACAGGATGCTGTGTGGCATGTTGTGAGAACCCCTTTCTCTATTCCTCATTGAACTGCAACATTAATTTTGGACAGCTGGTTGACTCAAGATGTTTCTTGAAATGTATGGAACGGCAGTCCTGAAATGGTATACTTCTTGGGAAGCCCGAATAATGTGTCTTTTATCAGGAGATCTAATCAGAGTCATTGTTTGAGCTGTACCTACCTGATTTGGAACAGCCATGACCCAAGCTCGACCCCGCGATCACAGACCTCAGCCTGGGTTCAGGGGAGCGCCTTTTACCCACTGAGCCACTCTGGAGACCTAAGAGTGTTTTAGCTGGAAAAGAGATGTTGGCGCCTCAGTTTAGCAGCTAATGGGCACAATAGTGTGGCCTCTTACGCTTGTGCCCAACAAACAATATAAAGAGGTGACAGTGGTCTGTGGCTGATGCACACTTCACGTCACTGCCTTGATCAGGAGGGAGGTCAACCCATGTTCATGTCAAATGGTTTTGCTAGCATAAACAGGCATAAAAGCGAATTGAGGTATTTCCAGTAAAACCCAGTCCATTAATGTATGGATGCATCTCCATTACATTGAATTGCAGGCTGGCACATTCATTTACTAGTTTACATTGAATAAAGGAATACTTTTTTTCCTTCTGCTTTTCAGCACACAATATGGTGCTGTATTCGCAGGTGTACAGTTATTTTTGACCCACTGGGTTCTAATATGCAATGAACTATTTTGTAACTCAGTACAGGAAATAAACATCTCAGAATGAGTATCGTCTTCCATGAGCTCTATTAAGTATAGGTTCTAGGGCAGAAATTATGAACTTGTACTGTAAAGCAAGTGAACTTTTTTGTTTTGCAAATCACAAAACTTTATATGCAATTGAGCTTAACCATAGTCAAGTAAATGCTGGGTTGTTTCCCAACAAAAAATGGGAAAGTTTTTTTTCCCTGAAAAGATTACATTTCCACATTGGTGTGAAAGGCCTTATCTGTAGGTAAGACGGAGCAGTTCCAAAGCTCAGAATTATGCCACCAAACCATACTTGTAGGGTTGCATCTTGAACTGTTAATTTCCGGTTGCTTTGTAGCCTTTAACTAGGAGTATTGAAAGGACAGCTTTGTGCTGAGGACTAGTCTTCCAAGTAGTTCAGCTCTCAGTGGACTTCTGTTCTGCAACAGATAACAGGAGCAATACGATATCCTAGGATATACTGGCAACGTATGTGACTGGTACTGTTGCAAACACTTTGGTCTTTTATACTACTGATCTTTTAAGACCTTGGTGCATTTGCTGCTTGTGCTGTAGAAGAAAAAGAACTGCCTAACTGAAATTGTGGATTGCAGTTTAATTTCTAGTCTGGCTCAGAATTCTGCATGTTTACAGAAACCTGATTTCTTTGCATCTTTGTCTTCCGCCTGGTTTGTGTTAATGCACCATTTGGGTATTTCAGTGAAAATAGTTTGCTTGAGATAAAGTTGACCACCTTTTTTGGTGTTGTTTTTTTTCCAGATTTTTAAAAACAGCAAGTTTGTGTAGCTGCGTGTGAAGCAGAATGTTTCCAAATGTCACAGCTGTCCTTTTGATGTGTGAAACCATTTTTTTAAATAAGTTGTACTGTGGCCAAGAAAATGCACCTGTTAACAGGGAAGTATTTGAAAGGTCAGGGTGTTGTACATCTTAAAGAGTCAAGTATTTCACAAGTAACATGACATTGGTTTTACCACATGGAAACATCATTTTCGAAGAACTATAACACCAAAAGATGAAAACCAAAAATGTACTATAATTCAGTTTCAGATTTTTAGTAAATCCAGATTAAAACATTAAGACATGTATGTAGTTCAGCTGTTTTGCATTATATGCATCTTAACTGACATTTAAAATATCTACTGTGCTTTTAACCATTCATTATTCACATTTTCAAAGTCATGAATTGTACTGAATGTTTGTTGTACTGTCCGTGTAAAGTAAAATGTGCTGAAGTTTTTTTTTTCCAACTTGAGAGGTGGTTCACTAAATGTGCTCCCCCCCACTACCAATACATCTCGTGTTCATTTCCAACAGATTCTTGAGAATCTGTAATATTTCCCAGGTTTTCACTGAAGTGCAGGAAACCACTTTACCTGAAGATGGCGCCTTTGAGTTCCCGTAGTACTTGTTTCGTACTGAATGAAATAGGGGACTTAACCGCAGACATCCTTCAACGACGAGAGAGAGCTATGTAAATAAATTAGGATGGGGTGCCCCCTCTGCTTTTAATTAACAACAAAGCCCTGTTGGTTTCATTAAGTGTAGAATTGGATTTATCCTGGACCGACTGAATCCTAATAAAATGATTGAAGAGCAATTGCTTTCTTAAAGCCTATTCCCTCTAAATTTGCGTGCTACTGTGTAAACCCACTGAGGTGGTTGGGACTGCTGCCTCAACACTCTTGGCTCCCGCGTTTGATTTTGGACGAGGATGCTGTCTGTGTGGAGTTTGCGCATTCTTCCCGTGTTTGTGTAGATGTTCTCCTGGTGCTGCAGTTTCCTTCCACCTCACAAAAACATGCTTGAGGTTAGTTTGGTGTGTCTCTTTGTGGGTGCCCTGTGAGGGACACCCCTATTTGGTTCGGCCATGTGCCCTGTGCTTCTGGGGCAGATTCTGGGTTGAGATGAACCTTGCCAGGAATAATGGGCTTTCAGATATTGGACGTATCCAGTGAAGTTGTATTTCCAAGACTTGCCACAGCTGGCCATGTTTTTTGTCACTCGGACATCTTAAAAAATCGCCTTGTATTGATCATCTACCAAACAGATTTTCTATAAAGATTCTCTTCAGGCTGATTTTTCTCTCATCTTGGTTAAGGTCATTTATTTATTTGTTTTGCATTTCAGCAGTGCATAAAACACTATTTTTGTTTCTCTTTCTTGTGTTCTGCAATGTCAGAGAACTGTGTCCTTTATTCAGTATCATCATGTATCCGTGATAAGATTAAAGAACTTTTCAGATTTTTTTTATTTTCATTAAAACGTTTGAAGTAGGATAATTGTTGAACGATGTCAAACAAGTGATGGAATGATCTGTTTTTGCTTACTACATGGGAAAAAATACCAAATCAAAAATCACAATTTAGTATTTGTAAGTCGAGGAAACTGCTATTTTTATGAAAAGGGTACATAATCATTTGAAGTGTGCCTTTGTAAGAACTGGTGAAATTCTGCAAGGGAATTTAGGTTTAATTAAGCGTCTAAGTCTCCAGTCTAATTTATTTAATTTATTTTGCATAAGCTTTCTGTATTCACCTGATGCTGTAAAATGACTGTTTGAAAATCATTTTATTTTTGTGCACTTTTTGGATTTTTTTACCAACTGTTAAATTGAATGCTATTTTATATATCTCTACTGTATTACTTCTGTATTTTAATAAAATATTAAAAATGGTTCTGTCTGAGTTCTGAAAGATGAAGCACATTTTTTGTTTTTATATTGTAGTATATCTAATATTTGAATTTAGATGAGGTTTTTCTATCCCGAAAAATGATTTTTCGGAAATTTAATTTTAAATTTACAGAAAATGCAAATTTTCCCGTGAAACTCCACACAGTTGCACTAGATCTATCGATACATTTGATGACAAATTTGAAATAAGAAATCCATAAGAATATTTTTAAATGTATTTGTAACATTTAATCGTTTCCTGCTTGCAGCCTGTTGTGATAAATTTTGTACACCTTTTCACAGTTCTCGGTTTTCTAAATGTGCCTTCCAGTAAAAATATTTTACTAGTACAGCAGTATGGATTTGTGAATGCTGGCTTGATCTCCATTTTACTCGTTAATTCCAATATTATACCACTAGATGGAGACTGGTCCTATTTTGTAACATCATTCCGCTCTATTTCGTAATGCTTTTTAAATCTTCACCAATTTCGAGGACGACAATACATTTTCTGGCATATATGGCCCAATAATTTCTTTCTCCTACAGTTTGCTTTTTTAATTCATAGTCTTAAAGGAATGGAAAGCAATCTGCTTTGTCAGATCAGTCAAACTTAAATACCAGTTATGAAGAAGTTTGACTGGGATCCACAAAATAAATGCTTTTAGGGGTATTACCTCTTGTAAAAACTATTTGCGTTTGTTTCAGACTTGGTACGTGCATATTAAACATTTGAGTGGATGTTTTGAACATAAATATCAATTAAAATACGTAAATATGGAGCGAAAACAACGTGCCAATACGTTTTTCGCGACAATTCTCTACTCGACTTCTTGTAAGGTTACGAATCGATTGGTCTGTGACTTGGGAACATACCAAAAGTACTTAACGACATGTATATATGCGCAACTACCTGGAGTGGTACTTCAGGAATCACTTTTGTATTCGTTTTTATGAATAATTTCTCTTTTCGGGTAAAAACAAGCACCTTTAGATACACGGTTTAATTAGTGTTGATAATCTGCACATAATTAACATTTGTATGGTTGTTCTCATTTTATTTGACTGTTTTAAGGTTTTAATATGTGGATTAGGAGATCTGTAAACACCTAAATTTATCAGCAAAAGACGCGAATAAATTGAAATTGCAGTTTTTACCCGAATGAAAATCGCTTGCTCTTGATTCTGTTGTGAGTGAAATGGGGAAACCATGCGCTCATGTACCACTTTTCAACTCATCTTGAACAACAGGTACGCAAAACTTGATATTTTCCCGGAGATCACCGAGGAAGGGTATTATTAAAACTCGAATAACTGGTGTCAGAGTAAGATTCTGCAGTGAAGTCTATCGTATACTTGACAGAAGTTGGTCTCTTGTTTTAGCCATTTTAGGTAAGAAATAATTTGGTTTATTAGCTATTGTATATTCTACTGATACTACCTCTCCCCTGTCTCCGACCAAATTACATTGCAGCGCTAGTGTATCCACAGTTACTGAGAATTGTGAACTGCCTTTATATGTGAAGGTAAGCCATATACTATACTACGTAATGAAGACTTCGACAAAGGAGCTTCAATAATTTGCTAATAACGCAAAAGCTATTAACAGTGAAGTGTAAAAGAGAATAAAATAATCCTAGGATACCATTAACTTCTTTTAACTATGCGTTTAAAAAAGATAGAATGTTTATGAACAAAACCAGTTTTGGGAGGTATGTCATATTTATTCGTTTCCAGCTTGCAGTGTGATCTCATTAGACCCCAGACGGTAAGAAAATGTAGGGCTGGTTTCAGTACTGTACTGCGGCGATGGATCTTCAATGTAAACCGGGTTTACTAGTGCAAGGGGTGTTGGTGGACCAGTAGGTGACACTGTTCCTTCTTGGCTGGAGGTTTCAGATCAATACCCCAGCATGGTGGCTGGGGACATTGTACCGTGTGCGCCTGCGACTTCAGACGAGGTCTTGACTGCCTGGTCATTAAAGACCCCATGACACTGTTCGCAATAGAAGCGGGTGTTAACTTTGATGTCCTGGCTAAATTCCACTCTATAATTTGACACCCCTGAAGTCGACCCTTCATCAGCTACTGAATTAACTTCTCTAGCAGATCTGTTTTGCAGTGTACTACGGGTGCGCAGTGGCTGCCGCGCATCACAATTAGTGCGCACTGTGCTTAAGTGGTGAAGTGGATCCACTCTACGTGAAGTGTCTTTGTAATCAATTGTGATGATTGCTTTATAAACGCAAGGAATTATGGAATTGTTGTTGTTAAGAGTGCTAATAAAGAATCCGGTATTTGTGTTGTGAAAGAGATAGGAACAGGAGTTAATTGCTGAGATTAACGCATCAGTCTTTTACGGAGACGAACTGCTTTAATCCTTCTTTTGCTCTTGAGGCTGAATTCCTTCCATGAAGTTTTTGTTTATCCACATTAATAAACGGATACTCAAAGCAGAGCGTGTCGTGTCGCACTGACAAAAACCTCGACGCAAGAAATTTTGATTGCGCACATTCCAGATTTTAAAACTACCTAATCTCGGTTTTCTCTTTCTTGTTTTGCTGTTTCGGGTCAATATCGTCGTTCATACACAATTTTAAACTGGGATTTGGTTACACACTTAATTGCCTCTACATAAAAGGAAAACCAAAAATCGCCTACCATAATATTATAATTTAAAAAATTTGTTAACTGCCCAATAGGATTGATCCTTATTTTTTAGCTGTCCTGAAACTCCAGTCAGATTATCACTCCCGATCTCATGCCATTCTTTGTGAAGTGGTCCAAGAAACGTTTATCACGGCTCTGACTGAACAGGGGGGTGAACTGGCGAACAGTCACTTTCGTCTGTTCGTCTCCTCTCTCTCCGAGTCACACACACACGCACCCTCACACACTTTTTTTTAAAAGAATCCCTCAAATCGGCTGACAGGATAGAATGAAAATGAGGCTGACACTTGGTCATTTTGTTAGTGCAAGCGCGTCCTTGCAAAGAGACACCTAGCTTTGGATCATATCACTATGGGAGCTGTTTGTTTTGCACGGGACTTCTGTTTGTTTTTCCTCTTGTTAAATACTCGTCAAGGCACTGCGAGTGCCAGGAATCAAGGTAGGTTCCTCGCTGTCTGGGACCGATTTTGTTGCACACATGTCCTTAACGGTGTTTAGGTTATGCACGCCTTTTCTCCTTTCCTAGTCCAGAAGAAATTCCAGTTTGTATAAACCCTAATATTTTATACAAATAAGAATAAAGTTTTATTAGGAATTAAAACATGTAACCCTCTATTACTTAAACGTATACTTTTTCGTAATATTTACTCATTTACGTTTTACCGTCCTGTTCTGTCCAATACAGCTTTATGTATATTAAATTTAGACGTGTAACTATAAGGGATGACCTCCTGTTTTGAAATATAGCTCTTTAGTTTTCTAGTAAAATGCATATATATTATATTCATGTACATTTACATTGGATCAGTTCTCGGACAGAGGCTGTTACTTTAAACTTGCTTTAGTTTGGTTACACTATATCAGTACGTTGTTTTGAACAAAATTCTGTCAAACAATGTCTTTGAATAATCTCAGTTCGCCTCTCTGTAGTGATCCTGTAAAGCTCTTGGAATATTTGCATTGCGCTTATCAAAACGTTTAGTTTCTGATGACTTTTGAAGACATGCTCTGAAAGAAATGGCTATAACGTTTAAAGACGCAAATGATGAAAATGAATACACGGGATACGACAATTTTTTTAACACTATAAATATCATTCTGAAACTTTATGGAGAGAGCGAGCCTGTAAAGAATTCTGCACAGACACAAAGAGGTGAAAAAAGAAAGACTTGCATTAAGTTTTTTTTTTTGCATTCCGTTAACTGCAGATGTGGATCATTGCTCTGGAGGAAGTGATGGCTGTCATGTAGATGCGATTTGTCAAAGTACCCCAACATCTTACAAATGTACATGTAAACCGGGTTACAAGGGAGATGGAAAATACTGTGAAGGTAATCTTTAATTTTAAAATGCCAATCCAAATGTATTTGATTGGTCTTTCCCTTCTAAGGCTACAATGATACCACATTTTCTTGGATACATTCAACAAACAGTTGTCTCCCACTTTCTAAACGTCTAGTGTTAACAGTAACCTTGCCGCTGGTGCCGCTGTTAATGTGTAAATTGTGTTTCTTTTAGTTCTTTTAGAGTGTGGAAAAGTTAAAAAAAATATTGTCACTTAATGGACAGCTTTCTAACGTCAACATTCTTAAACTGTTTTAACAACGATTAAGCCTGAGTTCCTATTAAGTGTAAAATAAAAGTTTTGTAGGCTGTTTAATAGCCAGCTGTATAATAGCTTAGTGAAAATGATTATTTTATTGTTTGTGATAATTACTGTGTGTGAGCATACCATCCTGTGTTCAGAAGTAATGTTGTACAGGCATGCACAGGCTCCTGTATTGGATTATTATGTTTATTATTGCTTTTCTGACTTCAGACACTGTATTGTTTGTGTGTGAGATCTGAAGTAGTGTTTTAAAGAAGTTTATACTGAATGATGTATAAGCCAATCCACAAGGTCTGTAGGTATGTGTTAGTCTCCTCTTTTCTCCTGATGTCTGGGAGTCAGTCCCGTATCATCAGCTAAACCGGTATCAGGAGAGTGTGTTGGCCATGTGGAGTGGATAGATAGCCTACCGTCCACTTTGCTTCCCAACTATATTTTGCTGTGTTTGAATCTGCTATCCTGGGCTGATCAAATTAAAAAGAACTCCTACAGTTGATCAGTACTGTGTGTTTTCACATCGGATCACCTTTATGCCAGGTGTATAAACAGGTCTGTTCTACACAGTAGATAAGGGGATTTATTTATTGTGGATATTTTATTCCAAATGAGAAAACCCCAAACTTTTTTTTTCCATGTGTTGTCATGGATCTGCCATTTCCCCTCTTCTCTGGAGAAGCAAACATTCATCAACCCTGACTTGTGTCCCATTTCTTAGACATTGATGAATGTGATATTGAGTACAATGGAGGCTGCGTACATGAATGTAACAACATTCCAGGCAATTATCGCTGCACTTGCTATGATGGATTCAAGCTAGCACATGACGGACATAATTGTCTAGGTAAGTGTTTTATATATCTCTACACACCGATCTGTGGAATGGGGCTTTTTTGCTCCCTGGAGTTAGTGTCATTACCGTAAATATGCTGATACAAATTTGAATTTGACTTTATTTTGAGAATGGCGTATACTGTTTACATGTTACTTGCCTGTAGTAAAATGCTTGGAATGAATGGTTTGGTTTTTTCTCAACGCAACGTCTTTTACAAAATCCAGTATTGACTAAAACTAAGAAGCTTGGGATATAGCATTTACTCTTTCCACACAGAATATTGGCTTCTGCCGTATGTTAAGTGCTCTATTAAATAGGATTATCTGAAGATACATTGCGCATATCATTTGTATTGAGAGGCCTGAGGAAAAGCAAAGCTCACAGGGACATTTTACTAATAAAATCCTCCCTCCTCCCTTTGCAAGGGCAGTTATCTGTGGACAGCAAATGAACGGGCTTTTAAGAAAATGACAAAAAATTGAATTATAGTGCTTGTTTTGATTGAGCCACACCAGCAGTTGGATTCTTTGTCATTTCTGTTTTCTTATAATCTGTTTTAATTAGTGAGCACATATAAAAGAACAGTGTGATCCCTGTCTTCAGTGTTTTTTTAACTCAAAACAGCGTTTTATGTAAATATTAGTATTACAAACCAAGATTATTGCAAATAATGATTTGACTAAGATGACATTTTGAATATGCCCTGCAAAGTTTGATGTATCGATTTGATCAGGGGGAAACGGTTCCCTTCCTTAGCAAAACAACCATGAACTGAGCCACTACCACCTCTCCTTAAGAAATAAACCTGTAATTATCCTTTTTGATTTCCTTCACTTTAAATTTCTACCTTTTCATTTAAAAGGATGCTAGACTAGTCTGAGATTAAATTATAGGTATGGAGCAAATGTAATGAACAAAAATGTAATTAAACGGACCTTTCTTCAGGAAGGCTTATATCTCAGGATTATTTTTTGAGCTACCTGTAATCCTTAACTACTACTTCACGAGCAATGAAAGCATTGCTGGTTGTGTACATTAATTTGTTTTGACAGGTTTGCAATGTTAATATTTTTATTATTGCTGCAATCTGTCTAAATAAAGTCCGCATTTTAATTGTAAATGTCATGCTGAGTTTGTTACGATTATTGTTACTATACCTAAAATGAGCCTCGCGTGATATTCATGAAATATATGTATGAAAAGTAATGAACTTTTGCAGGTGTGCATTTGTACATCAATTGAGGTTTAGGAAAGTACTGATAAGTAACACTGTACTATTATAAGTCCTATGTGGTCAAACATGGCGATATGTTTTACAGACGTTCCAATGATTTGAAAATGATCTGCCCGTGAGTTTTAAATGGGTATCATGACACTAGGAACAAGGTTTTAATTACCTCTTTTCAGATGTGGATGAATGTATGTTCAACAATGGAGGGTGCCAGCAGATTTGTGTCAATACCATGGGCAGCTATGAATGTCGCTGTAAGCAAGGCTTTTTCCTCAGTGACAACCAGCACACCTGTATTCACCAAACTGTGGGTAAGGCCTGCGTGTCTGTTTAACTGTCTTCACAAACAGTATCTTTCTTTCCACTATATTCCGAAGTTTGAGAGGCTGTCTCAATGCACACAATTACAGGTTGCCATCTGTTTTGTCTGTCTTTGATATTTGCCAGTGAATTTGCACGAGCACGGTGTAAGGAAATCGAGTGACGATGTCTTGGTTTGAACCCAAACTTCTTTGTCCTTTTTTAACCATTTTACAACGTGACACAGTTGGAAAGCTGAAAGACTCCAACATCAGAATGGGTATCCTTTACAGATGCAGCCCTAGCCCATTTGCTGGTGTGTAGATTTCCTCAAAATAAAAATCAATTTTCTTATAAGCTTCTCTTTTGCCCTGAGAAGGATATGTAGATTGTCAAAGCGCCTGGGAAATCAAAGAGGGCTCCTACTTGAAAGGTGTATGGCAGAAGGGTGGAGCTTAGCCGTGACACAGGCACAGCGGAAAGTTAGGGAGCTAATTTGTAAGTGTTCATGTAGAAGTCTGTGATTGACAGCACAATAGTGGATGATAGCTTTTAAGTTGGGTTCTTTTTCTCTCGTATTGTCTCTAGGATTTTGGTTCTAAAGACCTCATGCTGTGGGAAAGGAGCCCCATGTCTCTCTGAACAAAACAAGTTAATAATTGCAGCACATGATCCTTTGTCCTCTGCATCATAGATGAGAATAAAGCATCTATTTTATGTGTCAGTAACTTTTCAACCAGAAGTATTGTATTTTGTTTTCAATAAATTGACTTTAAAGATACTTTTCCACACTACTGACTTTTCCGGGGTAAAAGTACCAGGGGCTAACGGACACTTTGCTTAACTTATGAATGTGAAGGATAAATTGGTTCGGTATTCTGGAAGATCCACGGGCAGCAGAGTGGCAATTTGTAACAGTGGAGGTGTCCTAGGTTTTGGGACATTGCAGTCAAACGGCAGTATCAACTGCACCCAATCTGAACTCAATAAGGAGGCAATACTCCCAACCACAAACCACTGCAAAAATCTTATAACTGCTGCTTCGCCTAAAATAGCTTCGAATTGAACAGAGGAAACTTGTCCCCAAGGTAGCAAAACAAACACTGCTGAAAGACTGCTTACAAAATAAAGCTCTTAAACATGTAAGGTAATATTATTTGAAGGCCACTTGAAGTAATGCATCCTCCCTGTGTTGTTTCTTTACTTTCACACAGCATGCCTTTGAGGAAAACCTTCTGCTTGCACTGCAAATGGTCCCTGTCTTTTGTCTTTCTGTTTGGCTTTTTCCTTTGATTTTCCTGAATCAAGGTCTACAGGCCTTTACATTTGAGCTGTGCAGCTGATGGACCTACAGGCACTTATGAGTGGTACAAAGCACATGTCCTAAGGCTCTGGCTTTGTGTGGGCCAGCTCAGATACATTGTCCGAGAACTCGTGCTGAAATGTGTGTCCAAACAAATTTGCGGCTCAAAGCACTTTCAGTGTAATATTTTGAATATAAAATATATTCAATAAAAATTGAACTTTAGGGAAAAGCTTGTGTACAGATAAACAGTTTTCCGAGGTAGCAGTCATATTCTGAAAAATAAAAATAGTTTTTAATTTAATTACACCATTTTTGGCTTCGCTCTGTGTGCTACTATGATGCAATGAAATTTCGTGAGCCAGAGAGAGATGTAACGAGGCTGTAAAAACTCACCATAAGAGCCTTATTTTTCTGCTTGCTTGAACTGAAACATATCGAGATAGTTTTGCTAAATCTAAAAACTGGATTAAGAATCTATATTGTAGTCATTGTCTCACTTTTTCAAAGTACTATTAATTGGTTCTGCATTCCTTTATCAATGGCAGTAGAGCATACAGCTGTCATGTTACGACTTTATTATTTTCATCTTGAAGGATTGTGGGCCAGATATTTAACTAGAGAAGCGGCAGTAATTGTGAAAAATTGTTCTGTTTGTAACTTTTCATACACAAGTTAAAATATTTTAATGAACAATTGTCCTTCACTAAGGTTAGCACATTAGTTTTAGGGAAAGGATCGTTTTCCTTAAAGAAATATCTGTTCTTCAGTGGCTCCTTTTCCACACCTACTCACTCAGAGTCGAAAATGAGAGCATGTAACGTTGGGAAAATATGTAACAACATTTGCAACAATTTCAGCTTCAAATGAATACCTTCCAATCCCAGTCATCACAGGTCATTTTGTTTGGTAGATAGACTATCTTTTAACAACCCGCTGGACTGTATGAACTTAAATTATTGTGACTTAAAAAAATTAATGGGTAGTTAATCAGGTGCATATCTTTCTCATATCTTTTTGGTAAATGTGTTCTAAACACAGTATAAGTGAGAAAGTGGAATTAATTTTATGAATAAATATATAGTTAAATATATTATCTGTTTATACACATAAATGTGTTACTTGTAAGTATGGGGAAATATAAAATATGATTATTAAAGAGCTATTCTTGTTGGGCATTTCTTTCAACATCTTAGGGTGCTTAGGTATTTTTGGTTCATGCCTGTTGTTCACCTTATGTGCCATGTGTCATAATACATAACTGCTGTGGGATCTGCTTGTAAAGATTGTTGTACGTTGGCTTTGTCTGGACTGCAGTTTAGTACAAAAACATCTCAATTAATGCTCATCGACTTTCAATCCTCTTCTTGTTGCTGCTGCTGTAGGCGTGCATGGGAGAGCCATTTGAGGCTTATTTACTGGTATCAGTGCTTAAAAACACTCTTGGAGAAACATGGAGATTTTCTTCAACACAACTGGCAGCATTTCAAATAAGAAAGCAAGATGAATTAATGCTTACGTTTTAAAATTGCTTGGCTATAATGAAAAACGAAATGCCAGCTGCTGTTATTAACTTGTCTGTATATTGCTGATTCTGTACTATGCTGAGGAGAGGGATGATTCTGTGTTCCGATTCTCCTTTCCAGAGGGGCTGAGCTGTATGAACAAGGAGCATGGCTGCACACACATTTGCAAGGAGACGCCGAAAGGAGGAGTTGCCTGCGAATGCAGACCTGGGTTTGAACTCGCCAAAAACCAGAGGGGCTGCATCTGTATGTCAATCCAGCTCTTTATGTTTTTGACATTAAGTCCCAACAGAAACAAAAAAAACACATACTGTCTAATCAAAATCTTTGTCCACAAAGAATTGTTGCACATTGAACTTGCTCTGCTGTTTAGAGATGAATGCGTTTTGGGGATTTTGTGTAGTGACCTGCAACCATGGGAATGGAGGCTGCCAACACTCCTGTGAGGACACAGATCTGGGACTGATCTGTCGATGTCACCAGAGGTTCGTCCTGCACTCAGATGGGAAATCATGTGTAGGTAAGAGGTGCCTGTCAGAATATGTCATGATTGACGGTGATGATGCACACGAAATAATTCAGGGCATTCCCTGAGCCACATGCCACCTCAAAAGTTACACTACAACAATTCAAGTCATTTTGTTGTCATTTTGTGACTTCTCAAAGGTTTTGCAGCAGTATAATCATAATCAGACGATTGAAATTTGACAAATGTTGTCTATATCTTCATTTCTTTCCCACTGGAAATCTGAGATTGCATTTTGGCCTAACCTCGGTCCGTGTATTCTCTGATATTTTGGGGGAATTTTAAAAATCTAAGGATAGTCATTTAAACATAAAAGGAAACTGCTGTCCTTCCTTATTTACTGTAATAATAAAGGTCTGCTGTGTTTTACTGCAAAGAAGTAACCTGCAGTAAAAGCAACCAAAAAAGAACTAAATTGTTTTGTCTCTTAGATTTAAGCAAGAAGGTTAAAAAAAATGCTCTCATTGTCCGAAATGTGTACTTGTGGTTGAGAAATAAAGCAGTTTTCCTGCTCCCTACTCTGAAACTCCTTTCGCAGATTATTGCCTCTATTGCCTGCAAGTGAAAGAATGATCTTGATATCTCAACTTTTGAAAATGTTTGTCTCCCTGTTGCAGTCAACTTCCCCTTCACTTCATACACTGACTTTCTTCTAGATAAAATGACACAGTGTGAGTTTTATCATGATGCCTTTATCTGTAGATGTCTGTGAGGTCTTGATATATCATAATCGTTCCAGTCTAAATTCCACATCATTCAAAAAACATTTTTGCAGCTATCAGGATAGTTGTATTTGATCTTTAACAAGTGCCTGCTACACTCAAGAATAGAAATTACACCATGGGTATCATAGAAATACATCTGAGAGGACACACAAGAAAACAAGCTTTAAGTCTAACTTCTCTATACATAAAGTATGTATCTATGGCAAAGTTTGCATCATTTAACTGAGGTGAGAAGGCAACTAGTTCTGCTGCTGACCTTTTCCATCAAGCATGTTCTATTCTGACTGGTCTGCACTCATCTTAAAATGTTTTTTTTGTGTGTGTTTTGCATAGATTGCTGAATAGAATCAAAACAAAAATGTGGTATTGAAATTTGCAATGCTTTGTTTAACCTACCAGTTTAAAATCTGTGGTACATTTAGCATGAAAAGCATAACAAAATAACTCTGCAATACTCTTATTTTCACAACTTCCTCGCTTATTATTATGTCACAAATTCTGCAAGTGTGCCTCTGTGTGTTTGTGCGTTTTTGTGCATGAGTGGGCACATGAAAACGTGCTCTGACCATCTCAGATCTGCCACCTGAGGACGTGTCCCACAGGTGGGGACTCAGGTTCGGCTGACAGCGGCTGTCCTGTTCTCTCCCGTGCTGTAGAGAGAAGTGAGGCTGGAGCAGAGACCTCAGACCACAATGCCACTTCGCTTGCTGAGGTGGACAAGCGAGTGAAACGCCGACTGCTCATGGGTATTGCCGTTCTTTCCATTGCATTACCTATTTTCCTGGGCCCTGGACACAGTGTTCCCAGATTCCGCCCTGGCAGTCACTGGGTGCCGCACTCACATCATAATCCTGTCACCAAATAGCCTAGATTATACTACGCCTTTTGTCTTAATCTTCTACTTCCTGTGGGCTCAAAGAGAATGCATAACAATGCAAATGTTTAAGCATTTGCATTTGCAAAGTAAGAACTAGATGTGTTGCAAGGGCTCGATAGTCTTAATAATTTCTGGTTGTATTCAGTGTTTTCTTTATTGCTCCAGCTAAATCTTTCTGTTGTAGGAGGGAAGAGGGCATTCCTAAGTGTTTTTTGAAGCAAACTGCGAAATGGCAGAGAGCCACCTCTAACTCCACTAAGTTTTTTTTGTGTGAATATTTGGACTATGACATGGGGCCAGTGTGGCAAATTTCACATGTTTTTGTACAAATCACATGGGGTGAAGTGGTGGCTTTTCGGCACAACACTGTCAGTCTTGTGGTTATAGGAACCCTTAGCGAAAAGAAAAATAAACTTAATTTCTCACTTGAACTGTTTCTGTACAGTATCAAATATAAGTCTCTTTGCACAGTAGTTTAATAGTGTGCTATTTTCCTCAAAAGATTAAAAAGTAGTAATCATCTGTTAATTAATTGATCACATGTGACTGATGTATTAAGTTTATGTTAACTTGCAGCACAGGCAGGGTGTGAACTGGAAATCTCCTTAGAGCAATTCCTAACAATCTCTATATTTAAATGGAAACAGCAATACTATTTTTATATTTTGGGGTTAGAAAGAAACAGCATTGATAAGTGCATTTCAAACCACAATAAATGTAAAATGTACACAGTAACTTGTAAAACCTCCAATTCACATCACAAAATAGACAAAGGTTCCAGGAATGCATATCGCCACATTGCATGTTCTGTGATTAAGAATGAGGCAGCAAAACGTCTGGTGAGATGAAGTAGCCCTATTACATTGTAAGAGCAGGCTTGTGAATACATCTCTTGAAATCCAATATAAATATTCCTCTCAACTTTGAGACGGTTTTGCAGACAAATACCACTCACTTGTCATCTCTGCATACAGATCATGTTGAAACATTTCTGCAATGAGCTGCTGCACAACCTGTACTGATTTGCTTGCATTACATTAGTCATTACAGTGACTAGTGAGCAGGAAGGGCCGTTTCACGTCACAATTCATGTGAACTGTCGACAACATGGCGACTATCCAGTACGTTTCACAAAGTCGATTTTTTGTGTAACTTGGAATTTGTCAAATATAGCGACACCATCAATTAATTTGTTTTGTTACCAAGATTTAATAATAGGTCTGAGAAATCAGGACTGCAGTTCCCCTTTGACAAATGCCACTAAGAGCAAGAAAAAAATCCCCCTGTTGATTTCGCTCTTGTCCAATGAAGCAGTGCCTTCCCTGGTGGGGACTCAGAGTCCAATGGCAGGTGTCCCGTGTTGTTTTCAGAAACCTGTGCTGTGAACAATGGGGGCTGCGATCGCACTTGCAAAGATACGTCCACTGGCGTCCGCTGTAGTTGTCCCGTCGGATTCACGTTGCAGCCGGATGGGAAGACCTGCAAAGGTTAGATCGTAACTTCCAGCAAATCGCTCTCACACGTAAACCTTCCTGGCAAGAGTACCAGAAGCCTCATTGGGCATCTGATCTCCATATCGTACCGGTTGTGTAAATTTCCAAGTCTGTAGTGGACTGGAATTGAAAATAACCCAATCTTGTCCAGACTAAAAACCTTAAAGGAGAATTTGGTAATATTATTTTATAGTATAACACGACCTAATGACACAGTTCTGTCCCCGAGTTTCACTGTCTAAAACAGGCTTGACATTTCTTTCAGACATCGACGAGTGTGAGTTCAGTAATGGAGGCTGTGACCAGTTCTGTAGAAACACAATTGGCAGTTTTGAGTGCAACTGCAAGAAAGGATTTAAGCTGCTAACAGACGAGAGGTCTTGCCAAGGTAAATGAAAGTGTTGTTTTCTGTTTTGTTTATGAAAAATAAAAATTGTTGTCCACCTTCCTGAAAGGGCTCTGCTGGATCGTTGATCGTTGTACAAAAGTACAAATCCTACACATACAAAGGGTTGTTTAGGTTGTCTATACCATGTTATCCACACTGGGATGTGGATAACATAGGATGGACTTTGAGCAGGACCAGTACTGACTTGTAGGATTCCTTTGTAGATCTTTAACTTGCAGTTTTATAAAGCTCAACTTTAAATCTGAAAAGAATTTCCTTAAAACACAGATGTGTCCCCTGATAGGAGGATGAACACAATGCAAAACAGATTGCAGTCCTATCTGTTGTTCTCCACTGGGAATGGAAGTGACTCATAATTCGCTTTCTTTCCAGATCAAAAAGATAATATCGCAACCTAACAGGCCAAGTGAAAGAATTACACCCCTGATTAGTGAGACTTCTGAAGCCAGATGTTGTCTGTCCTGGAGGGTGAACAGGTTCTTTAAAAAGCCCCAGAACTGTCAATCTTAAAGAGTCAGACTTCAATAGGGGCATATTTATTATGGGGAATAAAATGCTTTCTTTTTTCAAAATACTGTTCACTTTGCCTTAACCATTCCTTTTACAGCTTGTAATTCTGCCTTAGAGGCACAAAATTGGAAAGACTTTACAACTTTGCGTGGCCAAGGAAAATCTTTTAACTTTTTGAACATTGAGACGTTCAAATATTAATTTAAAACAAAAATGAAATGGAGACCTTATGTCTGAAAAAATGTCAATACCTGCTGAATCTAGTGCTTTTTGATACTTTAGGAAAGAAAATTCTGTGACGCCCCTCTTTTTGAATTGCAGATATCGACGAATGCTTTTTTGAAAGGACATGTGATCACACTTGTGTGAATTATCCAGGAAGCTTTGAATGCGTGTGTAACAAAGGCCACATGCTTTATGGCTTGGCTCATTGTGGAGGTAATCGCAAAAATCACCAGAACTGACGAGATAAACAAGCTTTCGCACCTGGTAAAACTGTACCGTCGAGGTCTCAGCAGCCAAAAAATCACTCATTTACATATGAACATCCTCATCATTTCTAATGGACAGAATTTTTTTATGAAATATCAACTTAAACTGTAAAGTGACATATTATCACATAACATGTGATACCTATTTTACCAGTACCTATTTTTCAAATGAAGGCTCCAGAAATGCATTTCATCTTAAGGATAAAGCAACTGCCAACTTCTAAAGCAGTGCCTAAGCATGATTTCTAAGTGTGATATCCAATTTATGAAGTTGGACCAATAACCAATTTCTTATGCTGTGAATGGTATCTAAAAATCCCAAGGCGTTTCAGTAGAACTTAAATGTTGCTCCGAAAGCGGCACGATGCACGATGCACAACCTTAAAGGAACAGGAGTGACAGAAAATCAAATGCAGATCTGTTTCTTCTCAGATATTGACGAATGCAGTGTGAACCATGGGGGTTGTCAGCATTCCTGTGAGAATACCATTGGAGGATACGAGTGCCATTGCAACCCAGGCTACAGGCTTCACTGGAACAAGAAGGACTGCATTGGTAAGATTTGGTAGAGCTGTCCGGTTCTGGCTAGGCTGGGTGTTGTGTTTTTATCGACCTGCACATGGGCACATTGCTTTTATTTTTTTTAAAAAGCGCCTTTTTTTCTGAATCTGGGGGGGGTTTAAAACAGGAGATACTTTTGCGGTCTTTCGCTTTCCCCTTTCTCCCTTGTGCTTTTGCTCAACGGAAATGGATCCCCTGTCTTCTTGATGTGTCTGCTTCATGGGTACGTGGGATTTTGGGATGAATCTCAGCATATCCCTGAGCTGCCTGTGATGCACTGCAGCGCTTTCCAAGTCTCCTTCCTCTCCTGTCTTGGCATTAATGTTCGGTGCCTCTTGAGTTTGTTGTATTTTTTTATCCCGTTTAGAAGCAGAAGGTTTTCCAGCAGCTAAAGCGCCTTCTAAACCCATATTAAACTGCAGCAAACAGGAAGGCAGTGATTGCTGTTTTTTGACATGCCAGTCTCAAGTGCACATCTCCTCTGGTAAGATGCACCTTTCTGTTCTCCTAGTATTTTTACCTGGAGCCAGTTACCTTATAGCTGTATAAATGACTGGCCTTTTTTTCATGCCTCTTTGTGTTTTTCAGGTCCAGAAGATTCCTATACACTGACCTGCGGAACACCTTTATCTTGTGTCAGCAGAGGGCAAGGAAATGGAAATCACTATAATTGTGTGGGCAAGTACATTTCTACATCATGAGTTCTTCTGTGTTCATACACATACATGTATAATTTAATTTGTGTTAACCAACGGAACAATCATTTAGTTTTTGTCCTTCCTGGTGTGTTTTTTCAGTGATTCGGTTTATGGTGGTATTGAGTATTCTGTCATATATAAACTACAGATTTTACAATGCATCCAGAATACAATGTTTTCATTAATCTTTTATCATATACCGATTAGCAGGACTTGTTTATTTAGTTTAATTGTTTCTCCAGGAATAGATTCTACAAGCATTCCACGAATTAAGACAACTGCCACTTTTAAATCCAGTTCTGGAAAGTGCACTTTAAACAGAAGTCAAGAGAAGCTTCAGGAGGGCTTGAGTGCTTCTCTCTCAGGTATGAAGGACTTTGCAATAATTTCCTTTTTGATATGGCCTGAACACAGCTCCAGAATTGAGCAGAACATAGAGATTTCATGGAGGCTCTCTGAAAATCAGCTAGAAATGAGCAGAAAATGAGAGAGGAATAGTGTTTAAAACTGGGATACTTTGGATGTTGCACACCTGTGACATTAGAAAATGAAATTAGCCATGGTGTGCCTTTCATTGAGACCCTGCCCAACCATCAATCAAATCAGCTTCCAGTCATGGGATTATATTGGTGTCTCAAACACCTGGGCATTGTGCTACATCATTTTTAATGTTATTTCAAAGGACATAGAAGTTTGACCCCCCAAAAAAGGAAGCTCATGTTGGTCACACTGCTTTTTTCTCAAAGCTGTCGACAATAAACAGGGAAAAGAAGGAAGCACTGGAGGTTTCTCAAAGTTGAAATAGATCAAATCTGTTTCTCCATCAGTTAGAAAAAATGACATAGTCTTAAGTGTGCTGAAGTAAAGAATTTAGTTTTCTGAACTGCCTGTTAATGGCATGTGGTCACAGCAGTGCCTCTCTAGGACTTGTAACTGGGAATTGTCCTTATATTATCATTGCTTTGAAAGAATGCTATTGCAGGTCTGCTTGCATTCCATTTTCCCAGATCATGGAGTTGTCATGTATGACGTGTAAAACCTGGTTTCTCTTAGGGACATACAGGCACCTAGCCTAGTGAGCTTGGAAACTGAAAATCTTTAAATAATCTTTAAAGACCATGCTCTTCACACTGAAGAGGGGTTTTGAAAGTAAATCTTTAAAAACATTTGTATAAGATTAACAATATTCTGCTCACAAACCAAAGCCCCTTTAGAATGAATTGCAAGGTATATTTGTATAGAACTCACATCAATTTGTCTAATTTACTGGGTCTCAGTCATACTTACAGGTACTTATACAGTATATATGTTTACAATTTGTGATATGTCTTATCACCCTGTAACAGAAACAAGGCTATTAACTCCTTCTATTGCAAGATATTGTCATATTTGTTCAATACCACATTTAGTGTAAAACATCATTTAACAAAAGTTACTCACCAGTGCTCCCCTTTCTAAATGTATTGAATACTTATTCATCTTAGCCCCTGGTAGTTAAAATGTCCTTGGGCGTGAGCTATTCCTACATAAAATTCTGACGCTGCATGTGTGTATATTGTTTAACCCGCACAGACAGAAAAGCCCCCTACACCGAAAACGTGCAGTTCAGCTTCGTCAGCCTGCAGTGTCATTCTGTGAGCAAAAAGTCACAGAACCGCCAGGGGAGGAAGGCCGGAGAGGAGGAAGGGTCGTCCATTACTGCGGAGTTTGAGCTGGAAATGAACCTAGAGGAGGTAACAGGTTGGTTTGCCTCTGTTCCTGAGGTGGCACCTGCTTCCTTTCTCAGCTCTCGGTTCTCGTGTTGCTCCTGCTTCTCTTCTTCTCTCAGAGCCAAACTAGCAACAAAAAGTATCTCCTGTTTTGGTGTGGTTGTGCCCCGAGCGTGACGGCACCAGGTCGGCTTTGCCAGGGAGTGGCGTCGGGCCTGATGGGCTTGTTGACGTCCGCGGGGCCTCGTCGGGAGGGTGTCTCGCTCGTTCTTTGGGGTGGCTGTTTGTTATCGGGAGCTCTTCTCTCCGCAGAATCGTGCGACCTGGGCTGCGTGCGCAGGCGGTCGGAGAAGAGGCTCCGGAAAACCATCCGGACTCTGAGGAAATCCATCAACCGGGAACAGTTCCACCTGCACTTTTCTGGGATGGAATACGAGCTGTCAAAGAAGCTGACCAAGCCCTTGGGTTTGCCCGAGCAATGTGGGACTGGCCAGGTGCTGGTGGACAAGAAATGTGGTAGGAGACCCGCTGTACTCTCAATAACCATGCATGACAATCTCGTTTTCCACCTGCTATGTACAGTAGTAGTGTAGTTTTCCAGTCAAAATGAGATGACTTGTTTATTTCTTCTTGCTTCACAGTGTTGTGTGGTATTTCATTCACATCTTATATTGAATTGATTTGGTTTAGTTATTCATATATAGGGTGATAGGATGTTTCGAAGCGTGCCCTAAGGCTAAAATGAAGAAAAAGGTAAAAAGATATTTATGGAATTTTGACAGTCATGGTGAGACAAGCATAGTTAGATTTTAAAAATGATTGAGAAATTCCTAGGGTGATAGGTCACCATTTTGGGGTTTAAATCCACTTTACTGAAAACTTTAAACAATTTATTGAGTGGGTTTTGCATGAGTTTCTGAATAATAATGAAGAAAACCAAGACATTTGTCAAACCTGCTCTGTCTAGTTTGACAATGCACAGTTGTCCATTTTATTTAGCAAGAGAGTGAGGTCTTTAAAAGACATAAAAAGTGTCTGAGAGGCCTAGACTGACCTGCTGTTTAAAGAACTGTCCTTAACCTCAAGACACCCTCATCCGAACCTGACTTTGGCCACAATATTTAAAGAAATCTGCTGTTCAGACTTGCAGTGGACTATTGTCTGTTTTACAAAGCTCCACCCTTGAGTGGGAACAATTAGTGTCTGTAGTGAATAAGGGGGTCCTGTTATCACGATGACAGTGAGGGGCTGGGAGATGGCCATGAGTTGTTTTTGAGGAGGGGGTAGTCGAAGAAAGTCCCAGCTCTCCTTGATTTTTGTTCAGTATTCAGAAATGATCATTGATTCTCTTGGCTAGAAAATGTCTTTCAGTCACTGCGCTCAAATCAGAAACCTACACACCTTTGAGAGGCCTAGTTTTGCTATTAGTATTAATTAATTGACTTTAAAAATGTAAGATCATTTGAAAATGAAGATAATACACCTACATGAATGTAAAACCCATTTTGTAAGTCCATTTTGTTACCAAATAATGTTAAAAGTCCCCGGATTGGAGAACACTGCTAAACGCTCACTTAGCTTATAGAGCTTCAGCTTTTTGTCATTATGAAGGGTTTTACACATCTATTAACTTTTATGATTTTGTTTTGTTTCCCAGACTTGAATTAGGAGGTGTGAACAGTTTTCCCTTCAAATAACCCGTATCTACCAAGTATTAAATTACAGAAAACCCAAACAGAAATTCCTGGCTTCAGACTGCTGTCATCTGAGTAACTGCTTCTCGGTATTTGCAATATGATTACGTAGAAACAATAGTGTGGCAGGAGCAGTTTAAGAGGAGCGCACTATGAGTAACCCCCTGCCTAAAAAAAGAGACGCCATGTTTTGTCTTTCCTACCACCACCTCCCCCTCTCTCCCCTGACAGAGTGCTGTTTAATCTTTTCAGTTTACCCAGTCTACTGTAAATCACATCGGGGAGTGTTCTCATTCCTAATGTCATGGCTGAACCCTTTCGTCAAGCCGGTAAACTTTTAACAGTCCCGTAGCTTTAGATAAGACTTCCTTGAGGCACAAAATATCTCCTTCTATAATTATAATCTCATAGAAGTTGAAAATTGAGAGATAAGAGGGCTATTTTGTATAATTACTGCCACTAAAATGAACGTCTTGAGCTATAATGCTGTAAAAATGACTCAAACTGTGTCCCACGTACAGTTGATACTGTTCTGTGAAAGGAAGGCCCAGAATGCCCCAAGGGCATGTTGTTGGAAGAAAATTATCTTGTGTTTGAGATCTGACCATTACGAAATAGCTAAGGTTGGCATTTTATAACCGGAGGTTTCAATCTTGTGCCACTCTGAGCTTTGGGCGAAATGTATTGACTCAACAGGAAAACATCACAGTTTCAAATCGACAAAAACAGCGTGAAAATTTAAGACCTTTTTCATAATTTGGTTTAGATGTTTGTTTTTGTATGGGAGACATTTACACCACTGTTGATACAACCAGGCTCTTTAAGAGGTAAATTCCTTCTACACATGTCTACACAGCATGACCCCAGCCAGTGAACTGTTCAGAAGAATTGACTTCGGCGACACCATGGGAATCAATTTGCATCAGCTGTTTGTAGCTCTTCTTGAGAAGTGGAGAAGCGATTCTGATGGAGAAAATGAGGGAAAATCAGAAACCTGGCCTCTTTTATTGGGTTCACCTCCTTACCACTGTGATACCATAGTGTTTGTCCATGTCATCAAATAGGCAAGAGCTAAGGAGCTGAATGGAGGTGAAAGGTCCTTTAAACTTCTTTGTGGCCATCAATTCGAAGACTCTATAGGATCTCCTTTTTGCATTTGAAAGGCTTCAAGGTTTTTTTTTCCAGCAAATAAAAACGGTTGGAGACAATACGATGGTGGCTCTTAACGGTCATTCATGATAAACAAAAGACCCCAAAAATGAACTCCTCTTGAGAGAATTACATTTTCTTTCTTCTGAGGTAAATCAAGCAATTTGCGGAGGCACAAATGATGGCTGTTCGGTTAACCCTTTGTGAGACTCTCATCATTTCCATGTGCTTTCACTGAAATGGCACATTATTGGTGGCACTGGCCATAATTTATTGAACTGTGTAAAGTCTTCTCCAATGTGTGGCTATGTGCATAGCACAGCAGTTACGCTTCTGATTAAATTAAACTTAGATTATGTTGTAAGTCCTATTTTCAAAGAAATATTTCTCTTATGTTGACAATGTAATAATAGTTACAACTATTTACATCAGTTTTTTATCTGGAGATGTTTACAAGATTCCCAATAGTCTTCCTTTCTTAATAGTGATTATTATTACTTTAATTAGAGCAGTAGTAGTGTATACTTTTATTTATTCATATTTCATATTAATGAAGTTCCAGCTCTTGAGGACAAATGAAATCCTTTTTCCATATTACCTTCTTAAAGTGGTGGTCTCCATTTAGCAGGCAAATCAAAATGATTTTTCTTTTATTTTTTTATGATTGTCATGATCATTAAACATCTTCCAAAGTGAAGTCAAATAGAAAAGATGACAGATCCACAATGCTGTGCTGCTTGAAGGATATTCAAGCTGTCCTTCAAATGAGAAATTCTATGTCCTTTTAAATGAGAAGTTATTAGATATTTTCTGCTGCTACTGTGTTGGGGAAAATAATTTCTTAAGGTGAACTTAACACTCCATGGAAATGAGTACTAATGTGATTTACACAGTCCATTTGAAAGTCTTGTATTTAATTTATCAATTTATGATCTGATCTTGTTAGAAATCAGTAGCAAATCCAGGCTGCACTGGGTCAGTATAGTGAGTCCAGGGATGTGATACTGTCATTGAAAACCAGGCTCCAATCTGAAGTGGTGTTTGTGGACCAGTGTGTAGTGCTCTGTCCTCTGTGCCACAATTTACTAAACTATTTCCTGAATATTATGACTGGGGACACTGCCGCAGGAGGTGACATCCTCTAGTTGTAACATTAAATCAGGATAACCGTAGTGTTCCAAACAAATTCCAGTCTGACTTTCCTTGAGTAACCCTTTAATCCAGTGGGTAAAGGAATTTCTCATCTCTCTGCATGATCTGCTCTTTAGTGGATCTGTTGGTGCATAGAATCAGGAGGATGAAGGTCTCCTATATATAACGTCTCTGTGGGACAAATCAAAGAAAAGCGCTATATAAATCTTGGGGATCATTCATTATTATGATTGTGCAGTGCAAGAGCAAGTTCTGTCAGAATAAACACACTTTGATTTCACTGTTCTTTTACAGGTTCATTGCTTATTATGGTAAAAAGACTTACACATTTATGTGACGACACATCATGTTTTTTAATTGTTAAAATGAAAAAGTTGTTGGATGTTGATCATGGAAGTGTCTTTGAAAAAGCCTGGGTTCCTTATCTTTTTAGCATTTGTTTATTTATATATATATACAGTATATCCCGCTACCAGTCTTACAAACATGCTTGTTTGTCAAATGAGAGTGCCTGTTTCTCATCTTTCACCCCATTCAACACAAGTCTCTTTGCCCCTGCCAGTCAGCTGCAGTGTTGGGTCGTACTATGATGTTGAGCAGGGGAGGTGTGTTCCGTGTCCTCCTGGCATGTACCAAGATGAGGAAGGGCAGCTCTCATGTGAAGTGTGTCCAGGTCCTGAGATGACAGGGCACTCGCGGCCTGTGGGGGCTCGTAACATCTCCGAATGTGGAGGTGAGGTACTGTTTGGAAACATGAGGGAAATTTCCAAATCTGAATCGGATTAGACCACCAAGATGCTTCCCTGCTTTTAAAGTAAATGGTATTTTAGATATGTTTAGGAAGCTTCGATGTTCTGATAAGGAGCTCAGAAACAGATGTTTGTAAAGATTAAAAACCTGAAGGCGCTGCAATGCAGGCCCGGTTTTATAATGGCACAATTCAGACTGAAATGTGCCAAAGTGATATGTTTTTTTAAACACTCTTATCTGTGCTCTGTTAGTTCTTAAACAGATTGAATCACTTCCTCACGATAGACTAAACACAACAGTAACGGAGAATGTCACTTTTTAAACAAACCCACACAGAGTAGCGAGTAAAAGAAACTGATTTAGAGTGTGATCTGCAAAGGAACGAGTTGAATTTAATTCCATGCTGAGCTGTAAAAGGAAGCAACTGGTGTGTTTCACTGTATTTCACTGGATTTGCCTTGTCCTTGTTCCTTTCCAGAGCACACTCTGATGCTGTTCCCTGTTCAAACTCCTAGGAGGGTTAACATCACTGCCATTGCTATCTCACAGTTTTGTTTGAAATAGCTTCTGAATTTAATCAGTTCTGTCAGATTCTTGAAAGAAAGATGGATTTCACTTGGGTTAGAAGTTAAAGCTTTGCCAGACTCTTCTGTGCTGTGCTGTTCAAGGCAGATTAAAACAATGTGCAGTTTTGTCTCTGTACAATTGTATCACGTTTTGATGATAGATAAATCATCAAAATACAGGCCTTAAAGATTATGTGGATAGTCCTTAAATTTTGTTTTATGAAGTAATTCTTAATGTTAAGATTTAGTTTTTTGTATTTAACTGCACTATAAGAATGACATTGAACCTATTCAGTTTCTAAGTTAACCGATGCGTGACAGGTTAGTTAAGGGTCAATTAACGGTAATTTGTATTGATATGAAATCAATCTTTGACTGGATTGTAAAAGTATTCAAAAATATTAAATCTGGATATTTTATAGTTATGAATTAGTTCAGTATTACCTAGTTCCATACTAATTTTGAAAATGTATTACTGCCCTTTAAACTACAGTATATCTAGGCTTACTTAAATAAACTCACACTCCTTTGTGACATTGGTATGACTCACAACTGAGACATTAAAAGTCATCCAATAAGCAGGGAGAAGTGACACACAGAGAATTGCAAAATATACTTCAGGTTTGGTAATGGTACCAAACAAGTGCTCAAGTACATTTTCAAATCTATGCAATAAAAAATGCCTGACAATGACATACTGTAAGTCAATCTAATAATTTCACAGGAAATACTCCACTAAAGCAGTTGTTCCCAGTCCTGGTGCTCATGACCCACGCACCTGTTGGTTTTCCAGCCGAGCTGGAACACAAGTTACACAATCAGTTTCATGATCAACCCCTTCATTGACTTAATATTAAGGTGAATTTTGAACTGTTTGCTCCCTCCTCTTAAACGTGTTGGAGCTTTGACCCTTGTGCTCGTGACTAGAAACAAAACGCAAATATTCAACTAAGGCAACTTCTTAGATCCTTTAAGGTGTGTGGGTCACCAGGACCAGGGTTTTGAACCACTGCACTGAAGTATAACTTGATATAATGAGCCCCTTCCTATAACTACACATCGTGTCTGTTCGTAAAATTCCTGAGATCTGACTCACTGCTGCCCTCACCCTGCGAGTCCTTGTTTAATTTGACCTGCCTGATCTTCCGCTCCAGGGCAGTGTCCTCCTGGCCAATATTCTTACGACGGATTCCTGCCGTGCCAGCCCTGCCCACTGGGCACCTACCAACCCGACGTGGGGCGCACTTCCTGTTTCCCTTGTGGAGGAAGCCTAGTCACCAAGCATGATGGAGCAGAGTCCTTCCAGGACTGTGAAACAAAAGGTCTGTTGGTCAAGCAACTGCAGTGGGGTTTTTTTTTCTCCTCTTCACATTTTCCGTCACGACTCTGAAGCTTGAGGTAATATTTTAAGCGTCAAACCCGAGTGTAATCCGATATCCCTTGGTGGGATGCTCCCAGATTTGATTGGATTCGGCACTTCACTGCAGCTTGTGCTATTTCTCATCTCCTTCAATAAAATCACAGACATTATGTTGGAGTGCAGTGCTGCCGTGAATAGCTTCCGGTCTTCTCATTTAAGTCCTCTAGCTGTCCATTCCACATATTACTGTGGGAGCAGTGCTGGCCCCTGGATGAACAAATGATCAACGGCACGTGAGGCTAAGAATTCAAAACAAGACCACAGAACAGGAGCGCTTTGTTTGCAGAGTTACACCTTGGAATTTGTGGAAAGGCATAAATCAGTTTTATGTTTTGAACAGAAAAGAAATGGACAAAGTAAGGCTGCACTTTCGCCCTTGAATGGTACCAGATGGTACCAGGGCAGGGGTGCACAGCTCCTACCTTTAGAAGATCTTGAATAACTAATTAAGTAATTCGTTGCTAAGTTGAACAAATGTAAAACTTTCTCTTTTTTAAAACATTTCGTCATACAAAAGCAAAGCATTTCATTTCAGGATGCCAATACAATGTAGAGTAATCCCTTCATAAGGTTTGTTATTCTGGCTTATCGAAATGATTAAACGTTTCCACACAAAAACAAGGTTTAAACCTTTAATTATGTTCTGTGAAGTCTGGTTTAAACTGCAGCCACTTTCTGTTTGACAAAGGTTCCTGCATCTATCAATGACTTAGCTGAGGATTTTCATCCTGTGTGTGGGCCAGAATTTAGGCCTTGGGCTGTGCTGAGAAACCTCCATTTCCTTACTGTTGCCACCGTCTCCTGTTTCAACAGTTCAGTGCTCACCGGGCCACTTCTATAACAGCACCACACACAGGTGCATCCGTTGCCCGATAGGGACGTACCAGCTGGAGTTTGGGCAGAATTACTGTGTGGCCTGTCCAGGAAACATCACCACCGATTTTGATGGATCAACCAATATAACACAGTGCAAAAGTAAGGGGGATGTTCTTTTGTATTCAAGCATGACCTGTGGCGTAATGTAGAGAAACTAAGCAAGTACTAACCAGTAGCAATTTAAAAACATCAACTAACCCTTCTTAAATACATTTGAGCAAGCCTGAGCATACAACAAAGCTTGCTGTGTATTCTGGAGTTGTCAGAAGTTAGCAGCACCCTGTAGAAGGTCAGTATTTGAAAGAATTTTTACTGCATTTCACAGACAGGCACTGTGGTGGAGAACTGGGAGATTTTACTGGCTACATTGAGTCACCAAATTACCCTGGCAACTACCCAGCAAATATTGAATGTACGTGGACTATAAACCCCCCACCAAAGAGAAGAATTCTTCTTGTTGTTCCTGAGATCTTTCTCCCCATTGAGGATGAATGTGGAGACTATTTAGTTATGAGGAAAAGCCGTAAGTATTGTCCTGTCCACATTGCAAGCTTAAAAATGCGTACAACTGCAAAGCAGCATTAAAATAATTTCAGAATGCCCCCAGCAAGGGTGTTAGTTTACATTTTTCTAGGGAAAGCTGTCAATATAATATTAAGAAACATCAATGACAAATTTTTAGATTGTTGTACCTCATTACTTCCTTCAAAGTAAGAAATGTGTTTCCAAAAAATGGTCTCACCACAATTTCACAAACACAGTCACAAATGTTTTTCCTTTTTGTTCTCCTTCACCAGAGCAGTGTACACATTTTAGACAGCAGAGACATGACTCTTCTACAATGTGGCCTTGGAGCACAGCAGTAAAACAACACAAAATACAAATTGGGATATCTCCATTACACTCTAACACTAATTTAGTCACACAGAGGTGTGACCTGAAGATGTGTGCATCCATAAAAAATATTCGTTCACAATATTTTAGCAAAAACAAAAGCTGAAATGTACGTATTTTATTATTTTATTATTATGTTTTTTACAGCTTCCTCAAACTCTGTGACAACGTACGAGACCTGTCAGACATACGAGCGCCCTATAGCTTTCACTTCTCGGTCCAAGCGATTATGGATCCAGTTTAAATCCAATGAAGGAAACAGTGGAAAAGGCTTTCAGGTGCCCTATGTTACGTATGATGGTAAGAATACTTTTCTAATGACAGAAGCTATGTTAATTTTGTTGCCTATTGAAGATAATAATCAATAGCAGTGTGGAGTTCTAACATGGTATCAACTGCTTTTGCTCACAGAGGACTACCAAGAACTCATTGAAGATATTGTCCGAGATGGTAGATTATATGCATCAGAAAATCACCAAGAAATACTGAAGGTATTGATTTATTTTACATGTATATTCTCCTATATTAAGCTCTTTTTATGGTGTCTTTATTGTTTTATGTAAGGTAAAATAGAAATATACTTATTCTATTTTTATAGTAATTTAAAGTAAGACCGACTTCATGTTGGTCTCTGAAAATGCCTTTCAGGTGGAGACAGTGCCACATCCTGGACGATGCTTTGTAACTGCGGACATTTGCTCTGGTACTGAGGTGCCTTGATGTTTGGTTTGTTTTTCTTTTCAGGACAAGAAGCTAATGAGGGCTCTGTTTGATGTACTGGCACACCCTCAAAACTATTTCAAGTACACAGCTCAAGAGTCGAGAGAGATGTTTCCAAAGTCATTCATTCGGTTCCTGCGCTCCAAAGTTTTGAGGTTTCTTCGGCCATAGAAGCAACTCAGAAGGGCCTCATTCTTGAGACACTTCTTGTTTTTAATTTGTTCACCTTCTGACAGACAAAAGAATTAAAAGCCACAAGAAAACTGTCACAAGACGCCCATAGGACTAATTTGCGAACTGAGCTTCAGGGGAAGACTGATGCCATATGGATAATTTATACTAATCCTTGTGTGGAGCTTATTGTGGACTCAAGAAGCAAGAAAAGACCATAGTCACCCTAAAAGGCCCGCTGGGAGTTTACAGCTTTTTAAATTGGGAATTTAAACACTTAGTATTTATCACAGACCAGCTTAAGGGCAGTGTTCCAAAACAGACTTGTAAATTGTTCATCTATCACCTATCTACTATGTTTTTAAAATAGTTTTATTTTCTAATTAGGATTTAACATTGGCAGAAAAGAGTATGTATCCTGGATCAGAGTTTTTAACATAAAGACATCATTGTTTTTTAGTTGGGTTTGTTTCTGAGAATTAAGTCCACTTTGGAAAACTGCTCTTGCAATAGGGAAGCCTAGTGGTTATTAGTGCTCTAGCTGGATATAGTTTAAAAATGTTACAAACCCAATTATATCATTAGGGTTCTTTATGACTTAATTATTTAGGGGTGCTGTGGTGTGTACTAAACCACATGAGTTACAGGAGGTGTTTCTTAATGGTTCTTTTAAAAATTGCTTTTTTTATAAAATGAAAAAAAAAATTGTAAAAGAAATCTCAACACTGTCAAACTCATGGCTTCACAGATAGATGCAGGAATCATGACAGTTAGACATTTAGGACCGAGGGGAGAAGATTTACCTCTTAAGCAAAAAACACAAACAACAAGCAGTAATAAACAGAAAGGAACATGCTGTCCCTTTTGTGGGAAATAATATTTCACTTTTACACAAATTTATGTTTAGCTACAAAATAACATTGTTTTATTCATTTTCACATTAAAAACAGGATTATTATTTGATATGTTAAAGGCAGTTACTGCATCGTATACAAATATAATCCAGTTCCAAGCAGGAAATTCTTTAACATGGAAACAAAACATCACACCGGGGGCTGTTTGACTATTCATTTTATAGCTGTCTATTTGAAAGAGCTCTCAGATAACCCTAATGATTATGTAATGAAAATTGGAAGAGCTGGCCATGTAGGTTTGAAGTTTTATTACCAAAAGCCTTCTAGTACAAATAACAAAATGGAAAAACAGTAAGTGTTCAATTCTGTTTAGAAAAGTCTAGAGTAGCATACACTTTGTCTCGTGAATAAAAGTGACTATTTCTTTAACATACTTAGTTTTAAATGTAGCATATATTTTTGCACATGTACTTTTTACTAGAAAATGTTTTAACCCCCCTTTTAAACAGAGAAGATGTGTTTACATTTGGATTACATTAAGTCCTGTCATTTTGTGCATGATTGCCAAGTAAAAAAATAAGTGAAGCTTGATTTGTTTTCACAACTTTGAATACTCAAGAAAGTAATATTCCAATATTCATATGTGTCTGATATGCCTCAAGTATTTTCTTGTATAAATTGGGGAATTATTCTAGAAACATTTCAGAAAATGTGTGCTTGGAGACTTTAAGAGTTAACCAACTACAGTTGATTGGCTGAGACAGTGTCGGTGAGACAGTATTATCACAAAAGGTTTCCCAACTTGCTCATTGCTTATTGCAAGTTTTCCTAAAACTTATTTTTTCCTTAAAAGTTGAACATGACATGTACATCTTGTATAAAAGTGATTGAAATTTGGAAGTGTACATTTTTTGGAAAGCAGTGCAGGGGACAATTTAGCTAAAGGAATGACTTCTACTTCAGAAAACCTGTAACAGTTGTAGTCTTCATTTTTTTTAGTACCACATGGGAAGGAGGGATTTTCTTAGACTTATTTTCTCTGAATGGCTATTGTAAATTATGTAAAAAGGTTGTAGGAACAGTAGTAATGATGATGTATTTGAGTAAGTTACATTCTTAAAACTGTATGATCTGTTAAGGTATATAATTGTGTGAAACATCTTTTTTGTATTGAGGTTCTTATATCCCAAACATTTCCTACCAAAACAGAACTGAATGGTACAGATAAAGCAAGATTCAGGTAAAACATATTCATGTTGTTAGATGCTTGTACAAGCAGGGCCAGAATAGCAGCTGGTGTTTGGTGGGGTTAGTCTGTAACTTTACTTGTTAGGTTTCCAGTCAAACTGTGCTTTTCCATTTTTAGACATAATACATAACTTGGTCTAGTATAATATGGCACCGGTGGAAAAGTGGTTTAGTGTGTCAAGATACACCTGTGACACTGAACAAAATTCATTTCACAGTCTTAAATTCTGTGTTGCTGTGTCAACCCCAGTTTTAGTTTTTAGTTATATGCAAAAGTAAACTGACAATTTGTTTTGTTTTTATGATGGGTTTTATATTAGTCTGTGAACTTGTAGCATAAATTGATAGTTATCTTGCAGGCTATTACATTGGCTGCTTTTGCAAGGGAATTTCCACAACTAGTATGGAACGGTCAATCTGAATTCAGCCAACACCCTCCTCACACTGTGTCCTAGTGATTGGTATGACGGCTAATCTGAAATATGAAGATCCAACCAGTGTACAAACTTGTCAAGGTACAGTTAAATGACGTCAGCTGTGATGTTGACATCCCAGGTTGGTTAGCAGTGGTTACTAAAATAAAATGGCTAGATTTCCTAGGAAATACATTCCTGTCCATATTTTGTATATGTATGCCAGATGTTATTGTAAATAAAGGTAAATAAATAATGTGTATTTTTCCATCCATTCATCAGTACACTGCTTATTCCTAGTAAGGACTGCAGCAGTCTGGAGCCTATTGTGGCAGTTTAGGGCCTGAAGCTGGATTGTACACTGGACGAGACAGCAGCCCATTGCAGGACTCGTGTACAAAGGGGGCAGTGCCTCTTCAGGAGGTGAGAGCGATTTGGAGCACCCAGCAATAACCCAGGCAAGCTCCAAACAGAATACACGCTACCCTGGACCCGAGAGCAAGCACTAATCACCATGCCACGCTTCTTCAATTTGACTTTCTTCACGCAATGCAAGGTGTTGCACTTTGTCCTGTAAAAATTCTATAAAAGGAGCTTTCAACATTTTTTTTTTCAACATTTGTCTGGAGTCACCCAAAGTAAGACGTCCATTGATACATGAATATTGAATTTGTCTGTTATTACTAAAGGTGGAGCTACACAGAGTTAAAATCATTTTAAAGTCAACAGATCCTGAGAAAGTGTCCTGCAGCGGAGATGCTTGTGACTTCATGTCCACGCTACGACGTGGGCTCAGGTTTCCCTGTGTGTGAGGACCGAGGATTCACAGCGGACCGGGAGCAGTGGCTGAATAACCATCGTCAATCATAATAAACAACGCATACTCTGAATCGTTGTACAGTATACCCATTGTGCACAGTCGCCATGTCTGCGGTACCACCCATCGTGATCATTCCACTTGCGGAACGCAAGGTGGCGCTAGAGTACTCACCACCGTGCGGAGTCTTCGCAGTTACAAATTATCGCGATATCTGACTCTTGGCAGCGATTGGACGGGAGAGTTAAAGCCTCCAGTTTCAAAAGGGTGTTGGGTGGACATTTGCGATAAAGACTCGGAGGGGTTTTCCAAATGGCATTTCATCTTTTGTGAAGTAGGTGTAAATGTACGACATGTTTAGTTATGTGTAATAGAATCGACGACATCTTGTATAAAACGGGCGTTTCTAATGACTCTTAATTGGTATTTCTCGGGCGCTGTCATCATTTTATCTAAATTGTTTCGTGATAAATCATGTCTGTCATCATGGTGTGTTGTTGTGGTTCGGAATTAATACGGAAAGAAAATAAAATTGTGATCGAGCTGCAAAACCCGGGTATTATTGTGGTGAAAAGCTGAGTAGTTATACGGTCAGTTTAGGAAACAGCCGCTGTTTTATAGTTTTGAACTGTGTTGGATACGAAGCAATCGGAGATGTTTTTAAATGTAACGGGACGTTGTGGACTCGACTCCCAGGTGGGACACTTGGTGTTACTTTGCTTAAGGTTACAATATTTCACTCGCATTATTTCTCAGTAAAATGCATGTCTACGCACAGCAAATGGATATGGATGTAACTCGCTCTGCATTGAAGTGTCTCCCAACTTGGCACTGTACTTAATAAAAATATTAACTGATGCCTGTTGTTTTGTCTTACGGTCTTGCATCAACGCGCCCAGTTTACAAACAAGCTACTGACAGCCTGTGTTTATTTTGTGTTAAGACCGTTTTCATACAACACAACAACGTCAGCAAAACTGATAAATTGTTGAAGTTATGGTTTTAAGTAACGAAATAATGTCCTTGTTTTGCAGCGTAAAAACCGAAAAAGGAGCTACTATAAGTATCTAAAGCTGCCTTTCAAACCATTTTTGCCTGCCAAGCTGACAGAACACATTCCCAAATCTTTAGATGCTATGAGAAGAAAGGATCTAACCAAAGGAGGTCAATTCATCTGCTCAAAGGAGAGAGGGGGGGATATTTTTTAATTTAGGGGAACCTGATATTTTTGTGCTTTGGAAAATTGCCGGATCGTACAGAGTTTTCAAATAGCATGGAAAATGAAGAAAATGAAGGTAAGCTGCACCAGTTACTATATCAGTTTGTATACTCTTTCCCAGTCATAGATAATATTTTTTGCTGTTCTTTGAAACAATGTTTTCAGATTTAACAGAATGAACATGTTTAAATATTGTACAGATTTATCAGATGCATGATAGAGCCTTCTTTTTGTGTTATTATCTAGCTTGCTTTTTTTGTCACCATCGGTCTACAAGTTGTTGTTTTTTCTGTGAAACTGTACAGCACAAAATGGGTCAGAACTGGATGACAGCCTGACTAACATTAATTGGCTGGGAAGGTTCTCTTGTGCTGGAATGATCCCAGAACAAAAGAAGAAAGTTACTACAAGAACCAAGGTAAGATTTAGTATGAAGGCTCATTTACACTGCTGTCATGAAGCAAAGGTGGTAATTAAATGCATATTTTTATTTTTATATTTAAACATACACCATACCATAGAGGGTTAATAAAAATAAAGATGTCTCCTATACAAGTGAAGGACAAATTTGTACTTTAACTGTGTAATAGTTATTTTTTTGTGAAGTTCCTGTTAAGGAATCCCCTTTAAATGCTTTTTATGTGCCATAGGCCAAGATGTTTTTTTTTCTTTTAACTTCTTGTTTTCACACATTCGTAGTAAATTTGAAGGATCAGATCTGCAGACTGTGAAGCCTTTGTTCTAATAGGACCTGTTCTCTTTTTCCTCCCTCTTTCCTTCAGTTCGTGAAACCACCAAAATGTCCTTTGGTTAAGCGTCCCCCACACTCTTATTCTGAACTTATAAAGCTAGCCCTGAACAGCACTCCAGGAAAAAGGCTGACACTCCAGCAGATCTATGCCTGGGTGGAGGAGCATTTTCCTTATTACAAAAACTATGCCAACCCTGGGTGGAAGGTAATTGCACTTGCTATCCATATCAGCTGAACCTGATCATTAAGATTATCATGATAGACTTGCAACAACATGCATTCCTGTGCAATAAATACTCAAAGTTTCTGGTTTCCATGGCATTGTTTCTGTCCAAACAGTGACCTTTGCAACATAATACAACATGTAAAATACCAGTAGGTCTTTGGGTTTAATTAGTCTGTAAATCTCTACTTAAATACTTTAAAGTCAATTAGGACATTGACACTGCATACAAGTGCAAACTGCACAAACCCTCTGGCTTCATACTGGAGGTGTTCTGCTGAGGTCAGTGATATCTGGGAACACACTGGAGCTCTTGCAAAGATGGATTGCCAGTTCCCAGAGTGAGTGTGCTGTCGAACAGAAAGACTTGAGTTTCTGAAAACATCAGTCTTGAGAGAGTTCTTGGCTTGCAACGCTTAGGTCTCCACATCTACAGTATACAGAAATATGTATATTTAGGAAATGCAGATGGACACGGTAGACCATCCAAATGATGTGTGGATTGTACACGTCTGTAAGTGGAAACGGCAGTTTTCCCACGTTTACTCAGCCTTTCACTGGTGCACACTGAAGGCGAGTCCGTGTCAAAGCTGATCACTAGTCTCCGTGTGGATTCCATCTCTTGGAAGAAAACCGTTCTAAAAATCTTATCTTTTGCAGAATTCTATCCGACACAGCCTGTCAATCCGGGATATTTTCATACGGGAGACAGAAGGAAACGGCAGGAGCTCCTTTTGGACAGTGAAAGCCCAACCGGAACCCAGCGTCTTTCCATCATTAGAGTCAAGTGTAAGCATCAGTAAGGACAGCACTGGGGTGTTCATGTGAGGCAAGGCTAACGTCTGGAGAAATATAAAGGCCATCTCAACTGCTTTTCTTTATGAAGGAAGTTTGGCAAAAATATGTTCTGTGTCGGGTTCTTATTATTGCTATAATAAAACTAAAGATGTCTCCTATACAAGTTAAAGACAAATTTGTAGTTTAACTGTGTAATAGTTATTTTTTTGCGAAGTTCCTGTTAAGGAATCCCCTTTAAATGCCTTTTGTGTGCTATAGGCCAGAATGTCAAAAATATAAAAATATTTTCTTTTAACTTCTTGTTTTCGCACATTCATAGTAAACCTATTTGAAGGAGCAGATCTGCAGACTGTGAAGCCTTTGTTCTAATAGGACCTGTTCCCTCTTGCAGTCTAGCACCTTGTTTAAAACCGAGAGCTTTTTAATAGCCTTTCTTTTTAACAGGAGTAGATTTCTCTTCCAGGATTGTACTCCTTACTTTTCAGTCAAGTAATTGATGTGGCAAGCAATGAAGACATGTTATAAAGTGTATGTCTAGTTAATTTTTTGTCCTCGTTTGTAATTGTCTTTTTCAGAATATCGGAGTCCCAAGTGTGTCAGTAGGAAAAAAAGGTATTTTATTATTCAATCTTTTTATTTTGGCATGGCTGAATAAGTGTATACTAAAGGTATATATCCATAAAATGGTCACCACAAAGTGTGAAATGTATTTTTCCTTATATCCCAGCTCCCAAAGTTGTGAAGTGTCCTTTAAACCTTTCAGAATATTAATTTAAGGGAACTGCAATGCTATTTTTATATTTCTGGGTTAGGACGAATCAACATTGATGAGTGCATTTCAAACCGCATTAAGAGTTAAATGTATACTGTAACATGTAAATCCTCCATTTTACATCACAAAATAAACAAAAGTTCCAGGTATGCATATTGTCACGTTGCTATCATTGTCTGCGATTCAGAACGAGGCAACAAACCTTCCAGTGACGTGAAGAGGCCTTATTACATTGTACACAAGCATCTCTTTCAATCCAGTAGAAATATTGCACTTGATTTCGAGATGGTTCTGCCGACAAATAGTAGTTATTGGTTAGCTCTGCATGCAGATGAAGTGGGAACATTTCTGTGGTGAAATGTCTGCCGCACACCCTGTACTTATTCACTTGTACATCACAGTGACTAGTGAGCAGGAAGGGCCGCTTCATGTCGCCATTCGCTCAACTTCTCCCTTTCGCGGGGGTTTGTGACAACATGGCGACTTGCGGTACTTTCTCAAATTTCGCGATTTTGTGCTTAATTAAAAATGTGTAAAATTTGTCATTTCTTGCATTTCTTTCGTTACCAAGGTTTAACAACCGGTCTGAGAAACGGACCGCAGTTCCCCTTTAAGAGTCTTCATTTTGTACCCGTTATATGTGGAAATGTGATAAAAGTAGCAGGGTTAAAAATTCTTTATGAATGTGGCCCTTAAAGTCTCCATGTCTCTGTTAATAACGGCTAGGTGCTGTGAAGAAAATGCAGCCTTTGTTGCCCCATGGCATTGTGCCCTGCCTGGTCCCCGTTTCAGTCTTCATAAACCCCTCAGCTCTCTGCCAGGTGGCGCCACACGAGCCTCCTCACAGCACCCAGACTGTCACTGCACAGAGAGCGATTGCTCCGAAGGTAATGGAGTACATCCGTCTGATGTTTGTCTGAATCTGCCAGGGGCTGTAGTAAAATGGATAACATGACATAGCAACATACAAATTGCACCCGCTGAATGTAGGTGATTTGCGTTGGTAATGAAGCCTTTTCCCAGGACATGAGATCAGTAAATAGACAGTCATCAGCTTCCATCAGCTGGACTGTTCTTATGAGACCTAGCTGACGTAAGAGGGCCTCGCACTGAGGCAGAAGACTTTAAACTGCTAGCCTTTCCCAAGATCAGTAAGTAATAGATGTTTAGTTCTTAAAAATCTTTGCAGAATTGTGTATTGTAATTTTTGTTTTTAAAATATCCCTAACTTATCTCGGAATATAATATCAGAATTGCACAAGAAGGTTTCATTTTAAGAAACACATTTATAGAGAATATAAACTTCCCACAAAGCGCACTTGAGATTAGAGATGTATGGTTCATGGAAAATGCACAATTAAAAAAAAATAATTTAATTATAAACTTTTGCAACATTAAGATCCCTTTCACTTTTGACCATTTCTATTGGAAACATGCTTCCTGATGGCAGCGTGTTTTCATAAACTATGCTGTTTAAGAAATACAACCCAAACACATGGCTGATTCTTTTGATATTCTGTCCTTGAGTTCTCTGCTTTCATAAAGTGATTGCTTTTTGAGCTTCAAAACATCGTTTCTCTCTTTTCTCTAGATTTCTATCACCATAAGTGCCCACACTGCATTTAGTCCTCAAGTACCTGCTATAAGCCAAGCATTACGGGAGCCCATCATAACCAATAGCAGGAATAAATGCACCCAGCAGAGGCTTCATCAGAAACGGAAGCAAAAACTTCAGCCCTTAAAGGATCCAGGACTGCTTTCGCAGGACCAACCTGGCTTCGCAAATGACTCGGGGTTAGACAGTGAGAATAACGTGTCTTTGGAACCTAAGGTGGACAGTGAAATATTCGCAACATCTCCTTTTAAAACACCTAAAAAGAAAAACATGGAATGTTTGGCCACATCAACACCAGGCGCAGATCCTGCTCTGTTTTTGCGGAGTGTCCCACTGCCAGGAGGAGAGACACCAACTAAATCTCTGGATAGCTTACTTGGTGACAGTTTCTTTAAGTCTCCCGGTGGTGAGAGTCTAGAGTATGAAAGCCTTGGGTTTACACCCCTCGCAGAAAATGCTAGGTCCAGCCTTGAGGGTAATAACAGTGAGAAGGATCTGTCCGAGTTCGCTTTCCTTGGCTTGACTCCCATTAAAGCAACTATGGCTTCCGAGGAGCCAGGGCTGGACCACAAGAATGAGGGCCTGGCGCGAGTCTTTGCTGACTTCACTCTTCCAGACATCGACGAGGACACAGACCTGGCCACTATCAGCTGGGCAGCATTTACGTCGGATGGTAGCTAATTCTGTGCTGCATCATTGGGTATAATTTAATTGTGAACAATGTCATGTGACAGGATTGCTATGTAGTGTACAGTAAATCCGGGCTTGAAAAGTCATTAAGCTGCTAAAACAGTATGTGAAGATAAAGTCTAGCAGGGATGTGTAATATACTGGTGAAGATTATTTTATGGAAATGTATTTAGGCAAAACTGTAATTTATAGTTGTGGAAAGAACTGCCTTCTGTGATAAAGTCCATGGTGTCAGCTTTTTTTGGTTTGCATTTGTCTCGGTTCCAGGTCTTGAACACCTTATTCAAAATGGAAGGCTTTCATTGTTATGTGATTTAAAAAATAAACACTTTGAGAACATAATTTACAACTCATCTAGCTCACTTGATTAATCCCAATATCCCATCCAGGTCTTCCTTAATATAAGCTTGTTCAAAAAACCCTTATTCAAGATCTCGTTTCTAAATTTCCTGTCTAATTAGGCTGTCTGTTAGAATACTAAATCTGTATATATGACTAATTTAGTTAGAATTGTCAGCTCCATATGTGTGACTGTAATTACAGACCAACAGTTACTCCTATGACATGATTCTCTTTTGTCACCATGTTATGGAAGGATGCTGCTTCAGCGGTTTTCCAGTCAGTGTATGTTATCCATGTCTTGAGTGACATTGAAATGAGGTAGTTAATAAGAACCCTCATTTCCGTTAGTGCAATTGGTAGTATATCATCTGGCCCTGGAGATTTATCTGACATGTAGCTAGTAGCAGGGAAACTTCCGCCACTTCTGTGTTACTACAATTTTATACTCTTTCCTGGGCAGGAGGCAATTTTCTTCATCCTTTACAGTTCTTTTGTTGTTGCAGTGTTTTGGCGGGAAAACCTTTCCTTTTCATTGTGATATTCTTTCATTTCTCTGTTGGCTTTTCTTACATTTTTTTTAAACTTGTTTGCAACTTATTGTGCTGATTTGTAAATCATTCTATAAAGTGCTTTCTTTCTCATTTTTCTTGAATGACTAACTAATTGGGCCACTGCTTTCTAGACTTTGACTTCAGGGATTGACCTGTACATGTAAGCAGAATTTGCTCTCATTCAATGGTAGTGACTCGTATCTCATGTTACGTCTCAGTTTTGTAACAATCCTGTCTCACTTCCTTTATAACCCACTTTGTATACTACCTTTACAGTTTCAGAATATACTTCAAAGCATGTCATATTTTGATGTAATGGTTATATCACCTCTATTTTCCTCATAGTCTCCTGATTGTTCAAAAAGACCAGTATGTGCCTTGACAAACTAAGAAAGCTAGCAATGTGTCATTTCAATCTCATCTTCCAGTGTCCCTGATGGTTTTCCTCAGTCTTTGTTGGGGAAAATTAAAATCTTTCATGAAAGCCAACTTTATCTTTTTATTTCATTATAATTGATTTTTGAATTTGGTTGTCATTAGCATCCTCCTAACATTATGCCTCTTGAACCCTCAAGTCTGATCCATGCAGACAATACCTCAGTCCTCTCTCTAAGACACCAAAGTTTTGCCATTGTTGTGTGATTCCTGTTAAATCATAATCGTGTTAATGTAGTAGCCTCTACTTCTTGCATTTTTGCTTGACATTAAGACAGAAGTATTTTGCCAGGTCTTTAGAAGTTTGGTTTTCCATTGGAACCTCTTTTTTTTTTTTACTTCCTGCACATCTTCCTTGCAGTTTGTCTGTGAATTTTTTCCATTCTAGTTTAAAGTTGTAGATTATTGTTCTAAGTTGACTGGTATCCTTGCGTGATGGAATCAAATGGAGGATAAAAGAGAGCCCTTGACAAAGAACAACTTCCACTGGCTGACGAAAAAAACTGAAGTCTTCTTCAAACCTGCTATGGGTTCACTTTGCAAGGTGCAGAGAGAGCCCTAAAATCACCCCTGCATTCAGCAGCTTCTCCATCATTCACTTTTTCAAGCAGCAACTGGAGTTTTTAAAGGAACCATTTGACCGTACAAGGTCTACAATGATGGTCCACATGCTATACATTGAAAATAATAAGTCTGGAGACGTTCTGTGTTGGGTGTTGTAGCATTATTTTTTCACACCCGAAGAAGGCTCAATAGCTGAACGGTTATGATATTTCTAGCTTTCCTGCTTTTCTAGAGTTTTCACAACCTCTACTTGTTCTGTACCAGAGAAGCCTTCAGTGAGAGAAGAATACTGACTTTTCACTTCGGATTTAACCTGAAGTTAATATTTTCGTGGAAAAGATGGGTGTGTGGGTTAATTTCTAAACTATTCCCTCAGTATTACTTGTCTTATCTGAAATGATTGAACCTAACGTGCCGGTGACTGTTAATACCGCCGTATGAAGATATTTCCTTCAGATGAGTGTTAGACAAGTGTTCTTGTCTGTAAACGAACAACAGGTCGTTAAACAAACGACTTAGATTTATTTTTTCCTCTAAAGACAGCCTCCTCCGTATTCGTACGGATTCTCTTGGTGGTAATCTCTCTCTGAACGGTGCCCCGAGTCCTGTCATTGCTGAATGTCACAGTCGGCGCTCGGCTCTGCGGTCACCAAACAGGCGGCGTCCGACGCGTCACCGCGCTTCACCTGTATATAAAGCCGCAGACCGTGCTCTGCCACCTTCTGGCTCTTTTAAACGGAGCCTCAAGAAGTTGCCTTTCGCCGGAGATGTTTTATTCTGGTGTGCTGACCGACGGCAGCAGGAAGGAGATGGAGATCAGAGAGGCTGCTGCGCTGAGGCAGCAGCGGAGGATGAAGCAGGCGGTCCAGTTCCTGCACAAGGACTCCGCGGACCTGCTCCCGTTAGACGGCCTGAAGAAATTAGGCACCTCAAAAGAAATGGTAAGAGTTTTCCTTCGTGTTTAAAACGTGTTAATTGACTATCTTTTTTATATGCCCATCTTAAAATGTGTCGTTATTGAATGTGTTTACGTACTGTATTCAGAACATGTTTATTGTCTTGGAAGTTAATGATTCGGATAATAATATAGTGTTATAGCTACGAGTATTGACATTTCGTTTAGAGGGACATTCCAAAGACATATAAGCTTTTCTAAAAGTTTTAATATAGCCACATTTCCTGTTTTCAGTTAAAATGCGATGCTTTGTTGTTGGGAAGACGATGTTGTCTCCCTAAAACTTAATAGGTTTGATGGCACATAATATTATCCCTACTAATAATAACGGTAACAGACTAGGCTTATGGTCGAGCGACAGCTTTTATTTTTTATGCTGCTCCATCGTTAAGGAGAATCTGTTTGTGAAGGCCTCTTCAGGGAAAATGAACTTGAACAGACTGCTGATGAACCCGGTTGTCTAATAAGCTATTAAAATAACCATTTGAAATAATAATTTGCCGGTGTCTAAAAGGACCCTGTACTACCATATATAGCCTTTTCAACCTTTGCTACGAATTGTAAATTAACTAACCACTACGTTAAGGTAGATTGACGTAAAATATTAAAACATATTGTTTTGGTTGTGGTTGATCACATATACACAGATGATCAAATAGCTGTCGCAACAAGGTTTTATGCTATACAGTATATAGTCTGCTTTTCTTAAAGTAGTGTTTACTAGCAGCTGTCAGAGAGCCACCTATACAAGTTGCATTATGAACTATACAGTATTTACATTATGAATTATGATGTTTGTATTTATGTTATATGCTGTTTATTATACAATTTCAATCCTAGTTGTTCTGCAGTTTCATAGTGAATTTATAGAAAATATTAACAAATAAGTTGTTATGTAGCTACTTAACCCCACTTTTGTATTTCCAACTATGCTTAAAAATTCTCAGTTGAGATCTTCCAAGCCAGTTAGTTTTACTGGTGCCCTTGTATTGGTCTGATATGGAAAGGATCATTTTAATATCTGTACAAATCGATGCTTAATTCAGGAGGCCTTTGACTGAAATTGTGTTCTGTGGCAAAACAAAACACAGAGTGTAAATGTCTGGAACTTCTGGAGGTGACTCTGCTGAGAGGTTTTATAATATTACAGACAAACTAGTGACTTGCTAAAATCTAGCCCTCTTTTGGGTAGCTGTATACTACTTGATTCCCCTATCTAATACTAGTGAGCAAGATATAAATCCTTTGCAGAACAAGAGATAATATGTGTTTTGGGAAAGTTCTTCCTTGCCCGTGCTAGATTCCTCGTTATGGATGCTAGTGTCTTGTGTATAATTAATTTGGATGTCACTGCTGTGGAGCCAGCGAGGACAGATCCTCCAGGGTTCCACAGGTACGCAGGTGCCACACATCCCACAATGACCTACATGCTGCAGTAGAGGTTCTCTGGCAGTGTATGGGGGATCTGGCTGGGCTGTCTCCCGAGAGGAAGGATTGTGATTCACTCAATGAGGCAGGGGCATGATGTAAGTGCTGCTCAACATTGCAAGTGGCAGACATCGGGCACATAAATGTGGGAGAGTCTAAAGCCTCCTCTGATTAGCCTGAGGTGAACCCGAAATTGCTGACCAAAAAAAGTGAAAGATTTATTTACTAATCCTTGCCTTTCTGCTCAATCCTCCATAACATTTCCTTAAACTATCCATTCTTCATTAGAAAGTCGTTTACTCCATGTAAATGTGGAGGCAACCCGGAGATGATTCCTGGTGCACGTCAGGGTTACACACTGGACAGGTGTGCACGCAGAGACAAAAAGACAACAGTTAATTAGCATGTCTTTGGAAGGAAGAAGTCAGAGCACGCATAGATGAAAAAAATCCAAGATCCAGTCAGGAATCAAACCTGGGACACAAGAGCTCACTGCATCGACACCATGCTGCTCTCCTTGCAACAACTTTTTCCAGATTTGTTTGTTGCAGGTGTTTCACCAAGGGGTTATGATGCAGATCACTGCAGGACATTTTTTAGTGCTTTCTGGGAGAGCAGCAGATGTGGCTTTTTAAAGGAAGAGAACACTTAAGCCCAAAGTTAACATTTAGGGCCCAGTATTTTCTTGGATGGCAGTTTGGTTTAAGCCGCCAAGCAGAGCAAGCTGTTCATACCCTGAGTTCTTGCATATTCCTGCTTGGCTTCTGAAAGGCAAACATTGTAGCTGTGCAATTTCAAGATGAAGGGTGTTGTTGTTTTCATAAACGGCAAAGAAAGCTCTGTTATGCATTTAAGCACTTTTCTTGTGATGGGTATGTTTAATTCAGAACGAGCAACACAAGCACAGATAAGGGGCATCTGGGTGTCTCAAGACATAGAACCGTGCACACAGATCACAGATCTGAATCTTAATCTGGGTGATCACAGGGTGATATCACCAGTCTAGCTAGTGATAAGATTCCCAGCTGGCTGAGCTCTTCCAGTGTTGGGTAGGTTTGAAAGTGGCCAGGAATGCCTCAGCTTCCTATCTGACAGTGATGCTTTCAGCTTGTCTGGTGCATGTGAACTTGCTGTGTTAAAGGGAGAGTTGCATCTGTCCTCCCTCTGATGCCTGTGCCCTGCTGATGTCACTGTGCTCAAGGAGGGAGAGTTAGATGATGGCTTGGCAGCGCATGTTTCACATTGACATGGATTCTGCCTTCCTCTCTCCTGGGCTAATATGAGAGGTATAGTTTCAGTGACCTGACTTGCTTTAAAAAAATAAAAAACAGAATTGAAAAAGAGGATATTAAAATGTTCAGTAAGAATGTCTGCAAATGAAAAAACAACAATCAATCAACACAATATACAGTACAGTAACTATACAAAGATATATACAGTTAATACTCTTACATAAGTTTACCAGAATTTTGCACATTACTCTGTTATACCTCAAATAAAGTGCATATGAAGGTAAGTGAGCCTTGTTAATTTGGGTGTTATATCCAACTGCTTTCATTATGTTTGTGATTGGTTAATTTTGATGACAGCATCTCTGTGTAGAGACAAAGCAAAGAATTGCTAGTATTAAAGGCAGTTATTCATTTTTACAGCAGCCACACAACATCCTTCAGAGACGACTACTGGAAACAAACCTGTCGAGATTTCGAATGAACAACCGTGGAACAAGGCTCCCAAACAATGCAATACATGCACAGAGCAATGGTTTTCATCACAGCAAACCAGAGGGCATAACAGTACCAGAGGAAGAGGACCTCATATTTGTGTGTTGCAAGGTAACAACACATTTTAAGAACTCAGTCAGAGTAGATATAAGCAGTGTTGACTGCTAAACAAGGTAATACAGCAGCATTGTTGTATTTTTTCAGAATCCTATCTTAAAAAGATTGGGAAACTTGTAGAGAAGGTAAACAAGCAATATGAAATAAAACCTTGTAATTTATTTGGGTAATTTTTTTAATCTTAAGTGCAGCACCTCCGTATTTGAAGATTCATGGTACACGTGGTGTCCTGTACCTCCTGTTTGTTTTGAAAGTGTAAGCAAGTGACTCTAAAGCTTTATGTTTACCTATATCATATTTTTCCCTTAATATTGCTTTTGTCTGACTTTTTATTCAAAGTATGCAGGGGTTCTTGGGTTGTTTTTATGGTGTCCAACAAATGCTGGCTGCTCTAATCGGACATTCTGTGTAACCCACGGTAAAGTTTGAATGAATACATTCCAGTCAACCTTGGGACATTAGGATATCCTACTTTTCCTGTGACCTTCAGAGATTCTGAGTGAGGATTATTACACCAGCTGTCTTGGGCATTTACTGGCAAATATGAAAAAAGACCAGGCGTTTGTTGCTGTTAAAGGTGAAAATGCTGGTATCTCTGTTTTTATTAGCTAATGTGAAAAATAATAATGTAGTGGTAGTGCAGTTTCTGCTATTTAATGCAGCTTTAATGTAATTTTAATAGTCCCGTTCTGCTGATTTATGGTTTCATTAAATCAATAGAGAAATGTTCTCTATTTAACTAATCTCATTTCCCCTGCTCCCAACAGTGCTCTGGGAGGGAGATTAAGGTCCTGATTGACACTGGCTGCAAGTATAACTTCATTTCCACTGCGTGTCTGGACAGACTCGGGTATGCATCGCAAACAATTGGATAAGAAAAAAATCATCACCAATTCTTTTGTGTCAGCTCACCTGGTGGAATAGCCCGTTGTGTGATTGTTTTATCTGGGCACCTATTTGCAAACCGATGGAGGTTCAGCACCAATTGGAGAAGCAGCACATCCCTCACACACTCTGTCGCTGTGACCAGAGAGGGCCCTGGCCAACTTCTCCCAGCCTCCCCCTCGGTGGCACTCAGACACTCATGTGCCATCTACTCAGGGAATCCCAGTTGGCTAATGACAAGACTCAGGCTCGAACCTGCAGCTCCTGGACTACAGAGCTCTACCTGTGCACGAGCAAGCGTCTATACTGGTTGAGTCACTTGGGAGCCAGGGTTTTCCTTATTATACACTCCCTTTACCTCTCTGCAAAATATTTGTTCTCCAAAACAATCTGTTAGTATTCTGCTCATAGAATGGTCTTTGTGCTACACATCTAGTGGCTTGTCACCATTATGTAGTACGATGTTTACTGTTTTTTTAAATTCAGCAACAGTTTTGATGGCAGTAAAGTGTCTGAAAACCACGGGTTGAATTTGTTTCACTGAAAGATCAATGCAACTACTACTTATATAATTTTATTTACAAATTGCAAGATTTCAGACTTCATTGAGAGTGCTTTTCTGGCTCAGACTCAAAGGGGATTAGGTGGATCATTTAATACAAAAAGGATAAAAAGTTCCTTTAAGAAAATTGGCAATTATTTTTACAATGATATCACCCAATCTAGAATTGCAAACTGTGTCTTTACGTCTGAACAATTACCTCTGGATCACCTCTGCACCCACATTGAGAGATAGAGGAATAGCAAACCAATATTTACTATTGAGATAATGATGGGTAATTGGTCCTGTATATCTAAGGCTTGTGTTTCCATCCATAAAACAAGTAGCTAATGTGTATTTTTACCTTTTCAGTTTAAAGGAATCTGTCAATGCGAACAAAATTGAAACAGACAACCTCCTGTTTTCACATCGTTTCCAAGCCATGGGACAGATTGAGAAAGTGTCTCTGATGATTGGGCATGTGAAGGTCGACTGCTCAGTAATTGTTGTAGGTGAGTTTAAAAAGTACCAAAGTCTGTAATATTATATGTTAAATCATGACTGCTGAGAATTATTAAGTGTAGTCAAAAAGACTACACTTAATGTTCAATCTCTCTGAACTTTCATGCAGTGATCTGAATATTGACTGCAAGTGTGGTGGAATCCTGTAATTTAGAAATGTATTGATACAATATACATGATGACTGTGGCAGTTCTGATACAGTTTAAATTAATTCATTTTACAGAAAATGACAGGAACTTTATGTCACTGGGCAGTAAAACTCTGAAGTCATTGAAGGTAAGAAAGCTGTTCATATTTCCAATTACAGATAACTAATGGTCTCTGGAGAGCTTAACCCCCAAAACTGTAGTATGGTTTACATTGCTGTCTGAAGGCAGAATGTATTGCCTTCTAATAAGGAATTTGATGCCATAACAACTACAGCATATGTTTTTTTATTTTGCTACATTACACTTAATGCAGTTGTGTTCTGTCATGTGTGCTTTACTTATTTTTTACAGCTTTATTAGAGTTAAACCTGTAGCAGCTTCCTATATTATGATGTTATACTGCTCTGTAAATAAACTTGATTTCATCTTCATCACAGCCCAAAAAACTATTTTTTGTTACTTAATTAATTTTGTTATGATTTCCACTAGAAAAACACTAGATAAAATAGTTTTCTTAACTTTTTTTTTTCTGTTCACTATGGTTTATTTTAATTATGTTTTACAGGCTGTCCAGCATTAACA